CCAAGAGGTCCACTTCATGAACGCGGAGCTGCGCAACTGCGAGATCCTCGGGGTCGGCGTCGTGCCATGCCTCTTCTCAGGCTCGGGCCATGTCTACGAGTTTGTGCGCACGCTGCGCAAGTGTATTTATGGTAAGGTCAAGCACGCCGTGGAGCTCACGCCGCACCCGAACGGCTCGGGCGTCTTTGTGCGCACGAACCTCGAAGTCGCGATTAAGGTCATGAGCAAGGCCATCATCGAGCAGGGCAACCTCCAGGAAAACCCCATGGTCGAGCTTGCGACGCAGCAGTACCTCTCGACGCCGGGCCATCCGAATGTTCTGCCGCTGGTACGAGATAGCACGCTCGACCCATGCTAGATATGCGTTGTAGCTCGAGTGCCTCCACGACCCCGAATTTATCTATGCGGTGCTGCCCTTCTGCAAAGGCGGTGAGCTCTTCTCGCTCGTCGAGAGCGGCGGCGCCATGGACGAAGGCGAGTGCCGGCACTGGTTCGCCCAAGTGCTCAACGGCCTCTCGTACCTTCAACACCGGTTGATATGCCACCGCGACATGTCGCTCGAAAACGTTCTTCTCGATGGCAGCATTTCCAAGGTTCTATCGCTCGACGCCTCACTGATTCATTAATGCGATACGTAGATTATTGACTTTGGGCTGTGCATTGGCATCCCTGTTGACGCACAAGGCATGACATACTCGTTGCCACCCGCTGGCGCCGTGGGCAAGATCTTTTACATGCCGCCCGAGGTCCGCCGACCTCTGCGATACGACGACATGTATAATTCTGTGCGTTTGTAGATCTACCGGAACCAAGTGCCGTTCAATGGGTTTGCGGCTGACATTTGGTCAACGGGCGTCATGCTCTTCATCATGGTGACGGGTGCACCGCCGTTTGAGCGGCCGGACGACGTGGACCCGCGCTTCCAGATGATCGCGACAGGCCGTCTTAGCGAAATGCTCGACTCATGGGGCATGCACCACGTGAGTCGAACTGTCCGGGACCTCCTCAATAAGATGCTGGTCGTCCACGACCCGCGGCAACGGCTCACGGTCGACCAGATTGCACAGCACCCGTGGGTTCTCGGCCAGCACTAAGTACAGACGATGTACATACTCGCTCGCTCGTCGACCGAATACACTACCCTGTTACTATTGCTCGCAGCGTGAACACCGATTCGAGTTCCGGTGAGAAAATTTAGGTCGAACGAGTCGCAAGCTTACAGACGCTAAAGTATCTTGAAACGAAGTAGCCAAACGTCACAAGGGTCGTCGTAGTCGCTACTCGCAGTCGAAATAGTCGCTGCCCGTCCCCGATGGACCGTATTCATTGGTTGGCGTCGGCGTTGGCTGCACCGATGGCGTGACGCTCGGGTAGGGTGCCGGTGAAGGCGTCGCTCCGGGTGGCGATAGAGGTTCCGGGGCCGCCGTCGATGGCGGCAAGATACTCGGCGTCGGGTGCGACGTGGACTGGACGACGTCTGCCTCCCAGCACGAAACGTACTTGGCCTGATCGGCATTGAAGAGCCACTCCCAATGGAACGTGTACGAGCCGAGTGCGAGGTCTGGCTCCAGTCAAAGCAGAGCGAGCAGAACGCGTTGGGCATGTTTTCGCAGAATTTCGGGCAGTTCTGGAACCCTTTGTAGTCGATGACGCCGTTCGTGTGCTCGCCGTTGGTCGTGTTGGGGTACTGAACGGGCCACTGCCCAAGCGCGGGGTCGACCGTCGCTCCGACCGTCGATCGGTAGATGGTCATGCCGTTGTCCGGGATGTACTGGTTGGTGCAGTGATCCGCCACGTGGTTCTTGGCGGGGTACGCGAGGCAGACGCGCTGCCCGGGCACATACGTCGCCTTGGGATATGTCGACGTGTAAGCGTTGTTCGAGCCCTGTGCGCATTGACACGAGTTGCCGTTCGCCGACTGGTAGTTGAGTGAGCCTTCGTTGCCAAACACGCCATTGCCTAACACCAGCGATGAGTTATAATTCTTCGACCATGTTGCGTCGTACGGGCTGCCGAGCATCGGGGGTACCCGTAGCACTTGGACGCGTCCCAGTAGTTGCGGTCTTCCACCGACGTCATGAGGTAGTCCGAGCACTCTAGCATCGCAGTCAGATTTCATGCAGCAAGAAGACTCGTACCAATCCACGAGTGGGCGGCGACGGCCCCAAGAAGCAAGAAGAGCTGGCGCACCATAGCTACTAGTCGACTCAAGCGCGCTTGATGCGGAATGGGCTCTACATGAGCATCGCGCGAAGGGCGAAAGGCGAAGGCTATCTTTAGCGGGCAAGCCCCCAGGAATAGGCACGTCAATGGCTCGCCATATCGGAGGGCAAGGTAAGAAGAATACGCATCATGATCTGCTCGATGGCGAAACGTACAAGCACGAGAAAATCCGACAACAGGGCCAGTTTTTTAGCTTTAAAAATAAAATGCAAGGCGATAGCGTGTCGTAGTCGAGCTGCGCGTCGCGTCGAGTTGCTGCCTATAGGAACTGCGCCATCCAGCGGAAGCCGTCGGCGTACCCCATTCGCCGCACGACCGAGCACATGTACAGTTCGATCGGGCGAATGTTGGCGTCACGGTCGCCGCGGGCCTCCTTGCCGTACGTTTCGTAGAGGCCAAGGGCCGCGCGAAGCTCGTCCTCCGAGGCGGCACGCGGGATGTCGATCTTGTTGCCCAAGACAAGGAACGGGACATTGGCGAGCTCGTCGCAGCCAAGAAGCGTGTCCAACTCGCGCTTCGACTCAGGGAAGCGGTCGCGGTCGAGGGCATCGACGAGGAAGACGACACCGTCGACCGTCGCAAAGTAGTCGCGCCAGAGCTTGCGGGCGGTTTCGTGGCCGCCCAAGTCGAACGTGCGAAGGCGGAGCTTGCCAATAATGAGTTCTTCCGAGTCTAAACATCACCATCAGCACAGTGCTCTGTGCGCATGTCGATCGGTACGTACTCGGGTGCAACGTCGGCTCGTGCACGGCGACGCGGTCGTCCTTGAGCATGTGGAGAAGCGTCGTCTTACCAGCGTTATCCAAGCCAAGGAACAAGATCTTGGCGTTCTTGCGGTGGAGACCTACACGTACAGAGATCAACCTTCTGCAGGTCGCTCCATTATGGTCGTACCGAGGAAGCCCAAGACGCCGTAGAACCAGTCAACAAAGAACATCTTCTTCTGCGTCGGAAACGAAAAGCGAAAATGAAGTCCAGAGCCCCTCAGCCCTATACAAAGTCCAAGTCTACCAGGTGGCAATAAAACCACCGCCCAAAACGTTCTTTCGCACAGGCCACGTCATGCCATACGTATCGAATATACTACAGTATGTATTTACACAGGTTTGCACCGATATAAAGGACGCTGATTCCAAAGATTTGAATTCTATAACCACAGGATATAGGATACTACAGGGTGTTGGGTCAGAGGTCCACGTAGCGTGATGAATCGGATTTTGACCAATCACAAGGCGACAAGGATATTCGCGTGTTGGCGTAATCGCTGTAATGGGGGACGGGGACGGTCGCGCCATTTTTCAGGCGAAGCTACGAACCGCAACGCCAGTGGCCAAGACAACTGCGGTGCCTACGCTCGACGCTTTAACATACATGATGTACGCTATAATCTCGTTCGCTGCTATCACTCTTACAACTTTGCCTCGATGTGTCGAGTCGACGGGTACGAGACGAGACGACGTGTTTATAGCCGCGATGTAGAGCCAAGTCGTTGAAGTAGCCGAGTTCAGGCGACGACATTGCACATTCTGCCCCTCGTCGATCGAGTCAAGAGGTCACAGCCTCGCGTGGCATGGCTGCTCTGCTACTAGTACTGTGTATCTGAGGGATTGTGGACGCCATTAATGTCGACGAAGTCTTCTGTCCAGGTTTCGCCCGTCCCCGTTGCGTCCGGGCCCCTACTCGCATGTGTCATACATTGGATTACCCCCATTGCTTGAAGAGCACGCATATCACTTACGGATCCATGGCATCGTGGAGGTCCCGGGGTGTGAGTTGCAACAACGGCTCCCCGCGTGGCGAGAGTTGTCCAAGCTGCTCCGTCTCGGCGAGCGCCCAAAACGTGTGCCATGGAAATGAGATGCGCGACTGCCCAAACTGGGGCGTGTATTGCAGGTCGACACCTTCAATGTGCGATACCTTGGCTGCAGCGTGGCGGTAGGCCAGAAGTCCCTCGGGTTTTGAGGTAAAATACAAGCTCACATGCTTTTCGTTCTGGCGGTGCTCGAAGCTGACGTCGGTGACGCCGACGTCACGGTCGCTGAGGTTCTTGCTAAAGACAACGACGTCACCTGACCGCTTCTCTAGCGCAATCTCAGCGCGGTGCTTCAGAGCTTGGAGCGCTGGTCGCAGCGCCACCGCAGCAGTCCCTCGGGCTGGCACCGACATCACGTTCTGGAAAGCAATGCGCTGATTGGCCCCATTTCTGCCAATCCAACGCCAACTTCAAACTGGCAGATCGTGTCATCTGAACTCACAAATGTCAACGAAGAGCAGAGAGAATGAGAGACACTTCGTGCCAATACATCATAAATGGTCTCAATTCATCTATATATTGTAGTGCAATATTGTACCGTAGTGCTGCAGCGCTGCGGCTCCGGTTCGGTCTGGCGAGCTACTTTCTCACGGGTGCGCCGCCCGAGTTTGAAGCCCTGGACGTGATTCGCCACACGCTTATCCAGAGATGGAACGCGACTACTTGACCATATTGTACCGTAGTGCTGAAGGAGGGTGCTGTTTCCACTCATAAGCGCGTTGTGTTGAATCATTGGGTGAAACCAGCCTCTTGCTATATAAAAGACTTTTTTCACGCCACTTTCGGGCTATGTTCCATTTCGCCAGCTGCAAGAATTAATAGCGTGCAATTTAAAAAATCCTCTTTTAAATTCTACTTGTGTATCTACTATATCTAAAATAATCTAATTTCTAAACTTAGAGGGAAATGAATCTAGCACCATCATCGTATCCGATGGGCCGGATACGGCGTGGCAAGCAACTTTAGTTGCTGTGCCTCGACTAACTGAAAGCCGACGTCCGAGACAAGCAGACGACGATGCGTCGCGGCAAGATGGGCATTGGCGCCGTCAAGTGGAAGCAGGAACAGAAGAAGGCGTATGAAGAGGTCGGTACACAGCTCACGCAGAGCCACCTCGCGCACGTCCAGGCGCAGCTCGACGTCTTCAAGACGAACCTCGAGGCCTTCGCTGTCAAGTACAAGGCGCAGATCAAGAAGGACCCGGCGTTCCGCATGCGCTTCCAGGTCATGTGCTCCAAGATCGGCGTCGACCCACTGGCGTCGCAGAAGGGTTTCTGGTCCGAGCTTCTCGACATGGGCGACTTTTACTACGAGCTCGGCGTCCAGATCATCGAGGTGTGCATCCTCACGCGGCCTAAGAACGGCGGCCTCATCCCGATCCACGAGCTCCTTCGTCTCCTCGATAAGAAGAGGGGTCTGCGCATGCAGCGCATTTCAGAAGACGACATCAAGCGCTCCGTGAAGAAGCTTAAAGTACTCGGCGAAGGCTTCCAGGTGATTGAGCTCGGCGCCAAAACGATGGTACGCTGCATGATCGTCGCCATGTCATTTTCTGGACGAATGTGTTGGTAGATCGTCACTGTCCCCGTCGAGTTGAGTCAAGACCACTCGGCCATCTTGCTTCTCGCGCAGGAAACGCAGGGCATGGTCACGACGGCGCTTCTCGCGGAGAAGCTTCTCTGGGACGTCAACCGCAGCACGATTGCCCTCAACGTCCTCCTTCGCGAAAGCATGGTGTGGGTTGACGACCAGGTCCCTTCACCTTTGTCCATGCTATCGTTGCTCAGTGGATGCGCTGTAGAACCCAGGAGCGCCTGCCTACTACTTTCCAAGTATCGCAATGGGCTCGCAAGCCAGTACTGCGTGAACCAATACCGTTGATGAGGATGGTGATTACATGGAGTCGACTACTGTTTGTGCTTGTGGCTCGGGTGGACGGTAGCCACGTAAAAGAGACTGCTGCTCAGGAGCGTAAGGACCGTCGCGCCGTACGTAGGACCATCAACGGAAGCGATGTAGAGATACCCAGAGAGCACTACGCATCGCGCACGAAGTTAGCTCCCAAGAGCAACGTGATGACGAATACATACCGGGTGCAATGGTACGGGCGAGCGCCTGCATAAACATCGTCGATGTGAGGAATCACGATAGGGGTCGCGTACCGTCAAGGAGGTCGAGAGACCGAGAATACCACCGAGGTGCTGCGGCTGGACGGCCGCTGTCTGCATCGACAGGGAGCACGCGCGGAAGATGCTACGAGAGCGTGGCAACGTAAAGCGAGTGTTCTTGGTGTACCTAATGCCAATTTCGCGCGGGATCTGGAGCAAGAGCACCATCCAGAGCGAGTTGGATACGGCTGTCGCCAAGAAAGACACGACGCAGATGAGGCTCGTGGCCTGGATGAGCATCGACTCGGACGGCGCCCTAGTCGACATTCGACATCCTGCTTGAGTCGTTCCAGACGTCGACGGATTTACATGGCGAGAATAGGACCCACAAACCAGCTACTGCACGCCGCCAGGACGCCCGTGTAGCTCAAAATGTACCCGCGTTGGATGGACGACGCCGCGTACTTCTCTTCGAGCAGCAGCATAAAGTGACTCCTATCGATGATTCCGTGCACGGGTCGTGGGCTACGGATATATATATTGGTGCGCACCGAAAGAGGATGGACGCGCCCGACATTAGGAGACGCACGACGAGGATGTTGCGGGCCTTTGGAGACGCTTTGAGAATGTCCTTGTACTCGACAATCTTGTGAAAGAAGGCGATGGGCAGCGACGGCTCTGGGTCCCGCGACGCCGGCGGCGCTTGGGCTTCGAGGTCCTCGACCGTAGCGTCCGGTGCCTTGGAGAGCGACGACGTGGCCGGTGTCGGAGGACACGGCGGTAGCATCGAGTAGACGACTGCGTAGTTGAAGACAAACATGATTGCCGTGAGGAAGGCCGTGATGTTGAAGCCGTGCGGCTGGTCGCTGAGGTACCCGCCGACGATCGGGCCAAAGATAAAGCCAAAGTTGGAGTACGCGTTGATCTTGCCAAGTGCGTCGGCGCTATTTGCATGTTGAGATACGTGGTTGAGACGCGTGGAAATGTACCGAAGTGCCGGTGTCGTTTGGTCGGCTACGAGAAGCTTGACCGTGCTCATCGTGTGTTTGAAGATGCCAATCGGTATGCGCGAGAAGAGCGCCATGGACAGCGTCAGGGACATGCCGAGGACGACGTAGCCGACCGTGGCGCCGGCAATGCCCACGAGCAGCACTGTCCGACTACAAGCCATGCGTTAAACTTGTCGTCTGCACAATGCGCTCGGTACCGGTCAAAAATGTCGCTGAGGACGCCCGCCATTGGCGACGTGACTGTCTGAATCGCGCCGTACATGGACGTGATGAAGCCGACCGTGAGCGCATCTACAGAGTCGTCAATTGAGCATGCCCCGTGTGCGACCAGTTGTCGTACCGCCGCCGAGCGACTTGATGAAGGTTGGCAGGGATGGCATGATGAGCGAGACGGCGAAGAGGTCCACGAACGAGATGACGTAGAGCGCGCGGACCGGATCCAGACCCACGGGCAGCTTCGTCACGGTCATGGCGTCGACGTTGGCAGAATGACCGCCACGTGCCAAATCGTTTTTGGCGGCGTAGCGTCATCTTATTGCGATTATCCGGAAGATCGGGTGCGGGTTACCGAGCCTCCGCACCCGGCCGCACCCACCTGTCGGCTCACGACTCCCGATGTGTGTGCACAATCCGATGGTGGATTCCATTGTCTTGGAAGCGACGCGAGGTACCTTAAGCACCTTGGTCGGGTGCGCTGTTGCCCGTGCAGAGAGTAGAGTCGCTCGTCACCGTGCAATCAGGAAACGCACCCCTGCGCGCAATAGATGCGGGAAGAGACAGCTCGAGATGATTTAAAGTACATAGTGTACTGCGAGGATGCTGTCTCCTCACTGCCTCGTTCTGGCGAGACGTGTGACGATGTGTGCGTCGCTGCACTCGCTCGAACTGGTGCTTTGGCCCTAGCGCCCGTATTGGCAGTATCTTGCGACTCGTGTGAGTTTTACAAAGGAAGTACATGCGGTGGCAGAGCTCTCTCTCTCTGACTGAGAACACTGCCTCTCGTGATGGATTGCCAGTCTACAGCTCTTTGTGCGATCGCTTGAGTTCCTGCATCGCCAAGGTTCATGTAGCGCAACGTACACCATGACCACATGGCACGTTGCGCTGGCTCAACCGTACTGGATTGTGGGCACTGTACATAATGTACACAAAACTGGTAAAGACAGCAATCGACCAACGAAAAAGGCGCTAAAGTGGGTCTTGATAGCTGTTTTCGACCGCAGTTTCCACGACTAACTATCACTGACTAACTATTGCTTTTGCTTCGATGTCGGCGATCGGAAGAGCGAGATCCAAAAAAGCCCACAGCTCATGGCCGCAAGCACCGTCGCGCCGTACGCTGGGCCGTCGACCGAGACGACGTATAAGAACCCCGAGAGCACTACGAGGACACGACAGCATGAGCCGGTAGACACGACCGAAAAGAACGCACTGGGCGCGACCGTTCGTGCCAACGCCTACACAGGAAGCGAATCAAAATATTGCACAAGCCCCGAGCAGTGCATGGCCTACCGTCAAGGAGGTCGAGAGGCCAAGAATGCCGCCGAGATGCTGAGGTTGGACGGCCGCGGTCTGCAGCGACACGGAGCAAGCACGGAGGATGCTGCACACATCATCGATCGCGTCAGTCCATGATACAAGAGATACCTAATGGCAACCACTTGAGGCGCCTGGAGCACGAGCACCATCCAAAGCGATGTCGCCATGGCCGTGCCAAGAAAAGACGCGACGTAAACAACGCTCGCAGCGAGAATGAGCACCGCCTCGGAGGACGCCCTAGGGACAGATGGTGTTTAGTCCTTGAGACTTCAAGATGTGTTCGCACAGAGCCACGATGGGGCCAACAAAGTAGCTGCTGCCGGCCGAGACGACGCCCATATAACTCAGAATGTAGCCGCGCTCGACGGACGACGACGCGTACTTTTCCTCGAGAAGCAGCATAAAATGACTCCTACGCACGAGTCACGAATCATCATCAAGCATCCATCGCGTCGTACCGAAACAAGATGGCGGCGGCCGCCATGAGAAGACGGACGAAGAGAATGTTGCGTGCGAGGGGCGATGCCTTCAAAATCGACATGTAGTCGCGCAGCTTGGCAAGCACGGACGCGACCAAGGACGGCGGCGACGGCGACGCTGGCGGCGCAAGCAGCGATGCAGCGTCATGGAGCTCGAGGTCTTCGGCTGCATCGTCTTCGTCAAGCAAGATTGGGCGGTGCGCAGGCGGTGTCGGAAGGTACGACGGCAGCATCGTGTACACGAGCCCGTAGTTGAGGACAAAGACGATAGCTGTGAGGAACGCCGTGATGTTGAAGCCATGAGGACGACTGCTGAGGTATCCGCCGACAAGCGGCCCGAAGATAAAGCCAAAGCTCGAGTACGCATTGATTTTGCCCATGGCGTCGGCGCTAGTCGCGGCCACAGGGTCAGATAGTCGCAAGGTGTCGTGGTGTAGCTCGAATCGTACCGATGGGCAGGCGACGTTTGGTCGGCGACGATCAGCCGCACCGTGCTTAGCGAATGCTTGAAGATGCCACACGGCACGCGCGAGACGAGCGCCATGGAGAGTGTCAGCGAGAGCCCAAGGAGGACGTAGCCCACTGCGGCGCCGGCGATGCCAACGAGGAGCACGAGACGGCTACAGCAAAATATATGTGATTAGCCATGACCGAGGGCAGAGGACGGTATGTACCGATCGTAGATATCGCTGAACACGCCAGCGAGCGGCGAGGTCACCATTTGAATCGCACCATACATGGACGTGACGTAGCCGACTGTGAGCGCGTCTACGAGCAACGTGTCGAATTGACGGCCACCGTTGGCGAGAGGCGATTGTACCGCCGCCGAGGGACTTGATGAAGGCAGGCAGCGACGGCACGATGAGCGAGACGGCGAAGAGGTCGAGGAACGAGATGAGGTACAGCGTCTGCAGCGGATCCACCTTCATCGTCGTCCTGCGGTCGAAACGAAGATGGCCATGATGATACACGCAGCGATGGGATTGGTTAGCTCTTTCTGCAAGGCCATTGGCTGGACGATTGGAAGGCCGTTTCGATTGGCCCAAATCCACGAGCAGCGTGGAAGCGATGGCGGTGTGCGGCAAGGCGAAGGAACTGCTGCAGGAGCTCGGACGCAGCGAGTGGCTTCCTCCCTATAACGTCTGCAGCTACGTGCATGCTTCATCGATCCTTATGCGTGGTCGTGATAGGAGGACAACATTCGCCAAATCAGCGAAGAAGTCCATGCACTCAACAAGCAAATCGTCAAGACGATCCAGTAAGTAGTGCTCATTTCCTTGATTGTACCTACACGCTCAGCCAACATGACTAGGACCTTCGACAGCGAGCTGTCCGAGTATCCGGCCGAGCAGTGCGGCGTCGTGATCAACCACCAGTGCCTGACGCGCAACAAGCGATGCACGCTGGCCTACATGTAGGCACACGACTCCTACACTATCACGTAATACCATGACCGCCGTAGAAACCATCGCGTCAACAAGATCAAGGAGCTGCGCTGGCAAACGGGCAGTGTTGTGCCAGAGCATTTGGCGCCTGCGTACGAGCCCAGTTTTTCTAGCCCTCGCACAAGGACCGCTTTACTGTAGGTTGCACGCGCGCGAGGTGCAATTCTTCCACGGCTACGACCAGCTTCTTACGGACTACATGTCGAGCTTTGGCATCGATTTGGCTGCGGTTCGATTGTCCAGGGTCTACTTGACACTAACTTGGTGGCAATAGGATATGCAGCCACCAAAGGACTTGTTTATTGAGGTGCGCGTCTTGAAGGACTGCGGCGAAATCTATACTGAGAACGGCGCCGTGCACCTCCGCGCCAACAGCACGCACTTTCTCCGACGCACGGACGTCGAAGGACTCATTCGCCAAGGCATGCTCGTTCAGCTAAAGCACTGATCACGACGAAGAAACTGCATATGACATAACGCACAGATGCGAGGACAAGTAATAAAGTCTCTTCTGCAAAATGATCCATCTTGTGGCCTAGCACGTGACGCCGCGGAGAATCAGCGATGTACGAGGGCCAGGAAGTGGCAATGGGCTAAATATATTTTGCCAAAAATGAGGTAATTAGGCTTGATCTCTCCAGGAAACAAAATTTTGTGTGAATTTGGCTAGAGCTGCGGTTTTGCACATTGGAGCCGCTCGGGGCACACAACTTGTCTAATTTTCGTCAGCTTTGCTGGGAATCGCTAAAAAGTAATAGAGCTCGGAGGATCGCTTGTAGCCCAATGACTCGTAGAGCGCTTGCCCGGCAAGGTTGTCGTGACCTGTCTCGAGCATGAGCCCTTTCGCGCCAGTGGCGTGGGCGTGCGCTGTCGCAGTCGTCATCAAGCGCCGACCGACGCCTGCTCGGCGCGCACTCACGTCGACGAAGAGATCGTTGAGGATCCAGAGCCGCTGCGTCGTGACGGACGAGAAGCTCGGAAAGAGGTGGACAAAGCCCACGATACGCCCACCGAGCGAGGCCACGAAGAGCACAGTGTCGTTGGTCGTCAATCGCTCGATGAGAAAAGCCTCTGCACGTGCCACGTCACTTGGCTGGTCATAAAAGACGCGGTAGGCGTCGAATATCGGCGCCAGCTCGACCACATCGGCCGGCGTCGCCCGGCGAACGTCCACGGCCGTCATTTGATCGCTGCTGATGCCTTTTGTGTTTTGAACACAGGAATGCAATGTGTTTCTTACCGTATGATTGAAACGATGGCGCACAGGTTGATAAATGTATCCTTTGTTTAAAACAGATCGAGAGTCCCATATCTCTTGATGCGCTTGAGGTGCCTGTTGGCTCCACTATGGCTGGACAGTCGACTCGCCGGCGCAAGTGGTCTTGACGGCGCTGCGAACCACAGTATGTCGACACCCATCAAGCAGCCAAGCACCTCGTTCACCATGAACGGCCACGAAGATCACCTCCAGAAATCACCTTGCATGCCGCTCATTGGCTACATTGCACCAATCGCCTTTCGCGGCAAACATTTCGACCAATGAATTCAGGTCTCAAGCCATCGTTGTTGAGCCCACTTCCCGATCACCGTCGTCACCATGTCGTCGGCGGCGACGAGTGGCGTCGCCTTTGGCTTCCTCGCGTATACGCTCTGGGGCTTCCAGCCCGCGTACTGGAAGCTGCTGGAAGGCATGGACTCGTACCAGCTGGCCATGCACCGCATCGTCTGGTCCGGGCCCATCGTGCTGCTGGTGCTCGCGGCCCGTCGGGACCTGCCCGCGTTTGCTGCCGTGCTGCGCCAGAAAGCCATGTACCAGACGTACGCCGTGACTGCGCTCTTGCTCAGCGCCAACTTTTTCCTCTCGCTATGGGCTGTGAACGCGGGCTACGTGCTGCAAATGAGCCTCGGCTTCTTCATCAACCCACTTGTGACCGTGCTTCTCGGTGTCGTCTTTCTTCACGAGAGCTTGGCGCAAGTTCAGTGGTGTGCCATCGGGCTCGCAGCCATCGGCGTCGTTGTCGTCACGGTCGGCGAAGGCGAGTTCCCGTCGGTCGCGTTATCGATTGCGTTTGTCAACGGAGTCTTTGTGCTCCTCCGGAAACTCGCGCCCCTAAACGGTCTCTCGCGACAGCCATGGAGATTTCAATGATGACGGTGCCTGCGCTCATGTACCTGATTTGGTGCGAGGTCCAGAGCACGGGTGTCTTTGGCCACGTGAGCTTTGGCTCGGAGCTACTCATCGTCGGCTGTGGCGCGTGGTCCGTCGTGCCGCTCTTGCTGCTGAGCCTCTCGATCGACCGCATTCCGCTAGTGATCCTTGGTGTGTTGCAGTTCATCGGACCGACGCTCAATACACTCCTCGGCCTCTTTGCCTTTGACGAGGTGCCATCGCAGAGCCTCGTCATTGGATTCACGTGCGTCGTCTTGGCACTGATCGTGTTTACGTATACCAGTCTCGCGCCGTCCACGAAACGCGCCGAGAAGGCGCCGTTGCTGCCGCATAAGGCCGCGTCGTAATGAACTGCCCTTGGCTGTTGCATTATGCGTTTACGTGTGCCTGTATCCAGAGCGCCCCACTTTCGCGTGTCATAAACCGAGTGTCACGAGATTCAGGCATTATTGAGCTAGCTGCTGGCAAGAAGCAAGATCTGTGTGGCGTTGCTGGTAGCAACACGACTACTCATCGGTCGGCGTGGCAAAGAAACCTGTGAAGTGCAGCGCCATGCATCGCAGTGTCGTCCGTGGTGCACAATCCATGAAATGCCATTCGGGCACGCGCGGGGTCCCTCGACCACCAGTATTCTATCTCCACAAGCTCAGTACGTGTACAGAGCGAAGGAACGCTACCGCAAGGAGCTCGTTGCACCATCGTCCCAGCGTCCGACGCTGATGCACGTCTCGCCACGTCTACATGTACGTGCGTTAGAGCACTGTTAGAGCATCAAATGGCAGTCTACGTAAAAGAAAACGGTCGCCAACAGCGTCGCTTTCGCTTGTGCGCGAGCTCCGCACAGGCGGTAAACGAGCTTTTGTTCTCGACGCAGAGTCGCGTTGGAGTCATTCACGGCATTGCGCAGGTGCTCAACATCGCGCTGGAGCAATGCACGGTCGTCGCTGCTACTGCGCTGGTCCAAATCGTTCTTTGTGCGCAGTAGAGTGAGGTCGGTGTGCAGCTGATGCAACTGGGCGCTCTTTTCCTGATTGGCAAAAGTCAGCGAGTCGATGTAGCGGTAGGCTACGTCGCGCTCCAGCACGGCCTACGTATGCATTTCTGTCACGTTGGCACGACGTGGTCGAAATTGCACCTGGTTGCACGCTTGGACGATCGCGGTTGATAGTGTACGGGAAGGATTCAGCTCGGCAACAGACTTTCGAAGTTGACCCAACGATTCCCGGGTTGCAGCGAGTTCGTGGACGAAGCGTGGCAACGCGGCTTCGCACCGCTGAAGCTGGAGAGCCATGTGCGTGTTCTTGGCACGTTGCATGGTCAAGTTCCATGTCACGAAGACGATTTGCTGCAGCTGCAGGTCGCATGCGCGATCGAGGCGGCGACAGCTCCAGTCGAGGTGCTTGTCCTGGCGAGTGACAAGGCTCTGCGTCTCGACTATGAGCCTCTATCGTCAAAGCCGTCTCGTAAATATACATGGACGTTGTGAGTCTACCTCTTTTTCGCCTTCATATTGTGCCCAGACGCGACGTTCTTCGTCCGCGGACTCGCGCTATGCAAAAATGCGATGGCTTACAAAAGGTGTAGGTCGCAAAGGCTACGAGGAGCGTCGTTGCGGCTCGCGCGTCGGCAACCTCTTGCGTTAGTCGCGCCACTGCTTGAGCCGAGTCTTGTGCGACCAAGCCCTAAATCAGGAAACGACGTTTAGCACGAGGTAAGTTTATGCGTCGTACCAGGGCTGCAAGTTGGGCCTCGCCATCGTTGTGTGCGTCCTGCACGGCACGAAGTTCGATTCGAAGCAGCTCGACGACGCGGTCCCTCTCACCGTCCTATTCACAGAGACAGGAGTCTGTCCGTATCGCTCCATTATGCTGGCACTACGCGCTGCACATGCTGCCGCGATACTTCCTCCAGCTGTGCAATCGTGGCTTTGAGCTCTTCTATTTGCCGATGCTGTGCCTTCGATGAGGCTTCGTATTCCTCCTCTCTCTAAAAGTGTGATAAGCAATCGTGTAAAGTAGTCAGAGCGTTGTACTTTCTGATAGTCATCCGTGACGAGGCGGTACTCGGACTCGAGGTGTGCGATTGTTTTGTCTCGTTGGACTACGGTGGCCTCTTGCTCGATGAGCGCGGACCGTGTCATCGCAACCTCTTGCTGAAGACGTAGTTGTGCCGCCCGGCTGTCATCACGGGAGTCTTCGAGTCCCTGAATACGGTGACGCAAGTGTTCAAGCTCGTCCAAGTCGAGCCGGCGAAGGTGGTCCACCTAGTCGAGAATAATCACTACTTCCTCGACACCGAGCAACCCGCACCTCCTTGAACTTGCCTTCGTAATAGGCAACTTGGCCCTGGAGCTCGTGGATCTTGACTGACATTTTGCCTTCGAGTTTCGTGTACGTGTCCATCTTGGCTTCGTACAGCGCGAGGTCTTGATCCCGAGCTTGGAGCTGGAGGAAGAGATATTCGGCCTTCTCATGCAGCAAGTACAGTCGCGACGGGGGACCAACCTCGTGCTACGCTACATTTAGGATTCCAACGTCGTGTTTAGGAGAGTACTGAGATTGAACTATAGCCGCTGGAAGTTGGAGCACTATGTGGTGAGGGATTGGCAGAGGCGTCGGTCATGGTGCGGGCAACGGGTGACGAACAAAACGGTTTTACCAAGGGCTTGATGTATTTATACACACGGGACATTGTATGCCCTTGGTGTCACGAACCGACAATGCACATTGACCATGAGTCCACGCTCTGACCTTGACAGCCACAAATACTTGGCTCTGTCTTTATAGTTGCGATGCGAACGTGGCAACTTTACCTGTAACTTTGAGCTTCATTTGGACACCATCAAGTAAGTTCAACCATCAACAGGCCAACAATGAGAGCAGGTTGTAGGAGCTGCCAATAAGTTCTCCCAAGTTTTCCCGCAGTTTGAGCTGGCCCTAACTCTGTAGAGCTACATATGTTGAAAGGCACCAATTAGGTCAGATGAGCGTCTCCTCACGGGTGCACATAGCATGGAAGCTTGACAGCCTCCGTTAACCCCATTGACAACCAGGCCGATTTGCATGCATTGAGGCGACTCCCAACTTCAGCGGCCAACAGCAAATGAAAATTGGAATACAAGGCTCCTGATCTCCGAAAACGACCTCACGCGACCCAGGATGAGCTACTACGGTACTAGTACGTGCTCCCGATACTTTAGTACATGATGACACATAGTACAGCCAAGGGAGCATGACCCTGACGCTCCTCGACGCTCTCGCTTACACTACACTCCGCGGTGCCAAATCGTTGCCGGCCAAAACTGGCGCCTGTAGGGCCACTGCAGAAAGAAATATCAAGAATGAATGTAGAAATGTCACTAGAGGGGTTTGATGGTCTTGCCTGTTGCTTCAGTGAGATAGCAACATAGTACGTGAGATGTGAGCATGTCGGCAGACGTTTCGATGCATCCAATCAAATTGCATAAATCTTGGAATCCAGTCGAACCAATTTGCCCTGGCGTAAGCATGAGCCCACTTCAAGCCATGACTTCAAGCCTGCCTCACCGCGTCTACCGGTACCCGGTAGGTTCGTGTACCGGGTACCGGTAGACGCGGTGAGGCAGACTTGAAGTCATGGCTTGAAGTCCTATTCCTTGCAACGGTACACATCAATTGATGAAAATCGGTGGGAAGCGCCGTTTAACGGCCCGAGCTGACAGGTTGGATTTGGATAAATCAAATATATTCGTTTTCACAACCTAATCGTCGCAGAGCGACACGGCGGTGTTGGACATTATGGCGGTGCTCTATAACGTGGTGATAACACAGCGAATGGACAGTCACTTTTCATTTTCCCTTTTGCTCTCAACAACAATGGCAGCCTCCTCGTGGCCCGTGAAGATCTACAACAGCTCGTCGATCACCACCGACAGCCTCAAGGTCCCGCTTCACGCCTTCATCCGCGCCTACGACGCACCGACACCGTCCATTGTCGTGCGCGCCGATACGCAAGTTTTCCTCGACAGTCTTGCTTTTCAAGACGACGGCAAAGTTCTCGGCTTTGATCTCGACCATGATGGCTACGACCGCCTTCGCAACACCGAAGTACGCTACCTCATCGACGTGTACATGCCGACGCGGTCGCTGGCGTCGCTTCGCGCAATGGGCTCGGGCGACGTGGTTGTGACCCCCAGCGCACTCCAAAACACGTCCGTGGTCTTGACGACGGCGGGCTCGGGCACTGTTTTCGTCTCGGCGCCGTCCATTGAGCTCGCGAACTTGAACATCTCGGTGTCAGGCTCGGGCGGGTTTCAGTGGGATGTGCCGGCGACAAAGGTGACCTCGGGCGTGGATCTTTCTGTCAGTGGTTCGGGCACGCTGGCGCTCTCGACTACGACACTGGATGCTGGCTCGCTCAAGATGGCTGTTGCGGGCTCGGGCAAAGCCTACGTCGGCGCCTCGTCGCTCGTAAATGTGTCCTCCTCGGTGGCGACGTCAGTCGCTGGCTCAGGCCAAGTCAACTTGTACGCGGCTGGCACCTGCCGCGACCATAAGGTCTCCATTTCTGGCTCGGGCGATGCGTTTGTGAGCGCCATGAACTGCCGCGATACGTCTGCTGTCATTGCGGGCAGCGGTAGCGCATACATTCAGTCCACGACGACGCTCGCCACCTCTGTTGCGGGCTCGGGGCGCATTTACGTCGCGGGGACGGTTCCCGGCGGGCTTCCCGGTTCGTACACCCCAATGGCGTCGCCGCCCGTGACGACGTACAACGCTGTGCCGGTTCCTGCGTACGAACCCCACAAGACTAAGTTTGGCTCGCACGTGAGTACCGGTACGTCGTGGACGCGGGACAACGCGACACTTATCGGTGTCCTTGTCGCGGTTCTGATTGTGCTCCTGGTCGCATTCGGGGTCTACCGTTGCCGCAAGTCGGGCCGCGCATGCTTCCGCTCCAAAACGGAGCGACCCGTCGGATATGCGCGCAAGACCTCTACTGAGAACCAAGCGCCGTCCATGGCATAGAGCTCATTCATATATGCAATCTAATATCGACACCTCAAGTTTTGGCTGTTTGGGTTTGGCACGTGTGCATAGTGAAACGTGATTCCCCAGAGGACAAATTGAAGCACAATCTTGAAATAGCTCTTAAATGCTGTCAAATCCTGGGCAGGCAGCTAAATTCGCAACTCGAGTTCCCTGTCAGGTGTCAATGAAGGTACCAGTATGATGCTACAGCGTGTCCAGTGCACACACTGTAGCATGTCATTGTACATTGAAACAATACCCAACGCCTCCACCATGTGTACAGCTTTGATCAGCTCTCCACACGCAAATATGAGGTCCGATATCTTTACGTAAGATTGTGTCGGTGAGTACTGTACTTCACTGCGAGCATTCTTCAACATTGAACACGGACATATATACAGGGTCTTCGGCTACTCACTCCTGTAGCCTCATAGAGCGAAATTCAAAGAAAGCACAAGAAATACCGTGTACTGGCACTGTACGAAGCTCGTAATCTGCGATGGGACTCACGACATGTGCGTGCATAAAGTGACCCGATCGACGCAATATCAGTCGACTATCCGGATTGGCAGTGCACCAAATTGACATTTCAAGACATGTTCCGCGCCAAATTACACGAATCCGGCTCGCAGAAAAGACACGCGACATACAAACAGCGATATTAAACAAGCCCTTGTCCGGATACTTGGGATGAGCTCCAATTTCGATCGATCTATCCAAACGGTATGTGCAAGTGCACGTAGAAGCGCATTGCTCTTGCGTGTCAACTAGATACCTATCCGATTTCTTCGCATGTGGGCCCTTCCAGCGGCATGCTCGATGTAGTGTGGATTACCTATACATCCCACAGCGACCATGTTCCATTGTAGTGCAAGGGCAGGCGCCAGGCTTCCTCGATTCCAAGCCTAGCTTATACGGAGGGTCGCAAAATTATTGTTTAAGAGTAAACCAAGTTTTTGTGATTGGGATTATATAAATTGAATGCCGCTAGGGCTCATAAAATAGGGGTGATGCAATGGAATGGCATGCAAGTTGCGAGGCAAGGAAGCTACGGGGCGATCTCGACGTTGTCGAGGCTTTGCAGCAGCGACCAATCTTCGTCCTTGATCTCGTGGCAGGTCGTCGCCTCGTCAAAGTCGAGCGGCTCCCACGCTTCGCGGTCGATGAGGAGCGAAAGCAGCATGTAGTCGAAGTCGAAGCCGTTCGCGTCCGCGGCCGTCGTAGCTTGTTCACGCAGTGCAAGGCTTTCGCGGTAGTGGCGCTGACAGTACCCGCCCATGCGCACGTGCTGGGCGCAGGATGGGATCTTGCACGACCGACCACCGCCGTGACGGACGCAGAGCTGGCGCGCATGGGCTTGCTTGGCGCAGCCTTCGACGGAGCAGAGGCGGCGGTCGCACTGGCCACCATGCTTGAGGCAGAAGGTACCGCCCTTGGCGTACGAGAGGCAGCCTTCGAACGCGCACGGTTTCTTGCCACCATGACGCACACAGAGGTTGCGGGCGTACACTTGGTTTTGGCAGTCGTCACGGGAGCACATCTTGCGGTCTTTATGGTACTCGCACTTGCCACCGGCGTCGGCAATCGCGACGTTGACGCAGTTACGGAAGGCGCAGAGGTTGGCCATCTTGTCGGGAGGTGTTGCTTGGAAGGAGGGAAATTGGAAAATGCCGAACTTTTTATCATCCACGAGGTGTCATCGGCCGCGCAGGAGGGTGGTACTTCTCTTGGTATCGTTACCTTCACTTGGAGTTGAGCCGTCTCGATCTTAGATACAATACCAGCTGGTCTGTGTGTGACCAACCCAGCATCGAGTGACGCGCGCGGAGCCGTACATCCACCCTACCATCTGCACCGTAGGTCCCAAACCATCAACCTTACGCCACCTGCTCGATGATTAGTGCGGCAGCTGGCACCGTCGATGCTCAATGAAAGCGTTGACAATGCCCTTGGTACCAACGTTGCAGGAGGCAGAAAGGCCGCCGTACGAATATAGGGAAGTGCTGTAACTCTTCAGGCGTAAATGTGCCACAACGCCCATGTCAGCCCCATAGAACGACAAGGGAAATCAAGAGAGACTCGGCTCCACCAACAGGATACAAAGTCCCAACGACTCTGAAGCCCTCGATAGAGGGCGCAGAGTCATTGACAATAATAAAGCGTGTGATTACTAATCACGCACGTACTTAGTTTTAAGTCCCCCATAGGCGCTGGCGTCTTTTCTCACGACATGATCACTTGCGCGATCGAATCTGGTTCAACTAAAAGAATGTTGGGCGGCGCTTTCGCAAGGCAAGGATGTCTTCGCCAGCAGAGCCGGAAGTTGCTGGCAGCTGGCGACGAGTAGACGGCGCCCCAAAAGCAAGTGACATCAGTATTATCTTACACGGGGATACACATTTACGAACGTATTTACGAGACTAGTGTACGAAATAGGATTCGATGCACATTATAGTGTCGGTATCAATCGTGATGGAATTCTGTCTTGACGTACGCTGATATCCAATGTACTAGTACTGGACATCGTAACCAGACAGTTTGGGACACAACCGGACTCTGTAGCGAGCTCTGTCGTGCTCGTATTAGAGGCGGTCGAGAGCCACTTCGCAGTCGAATGCGTGCGCATTTGCATGACGCCACCTCTGGCGCACAGTGAAAATTACACGAAAAAGACGCGCTGCGAAATGCTCGGAACACAGATATGCAAAGCAAACGACGGAGACAGTGTCTACGGGGTGCATTATTCTGTACCAGATAGCGCATCTGGCGATTGCAAGCACCGGCTTTCCAGCATCCCCGCTGTTGCCGCCTGTAGACGCTGGCGTATGTCGGCGACGCCGGAATTCTCCCGCGTCTTCCAAGCACCCTTCTTCGTCACACGTGTCCCAGACCCCTGCTCACTGACGACGACGATAGCGACCAAGCCAGTTCGTCGCCACGCACGCAAGCACGCATGCCGCGCATCTGCCACACGCAATGGCACCTCACACGACTGGGTCGTTCGGATGCACGTTGAAGGCGAGTTAAAAATAGAGGGAACGGGCCAATCCGGCGCCACCGATGAGAATATATCGACCAATGACAACGCGAGGCGAGGGCCTTGCCAGGATAGTTTAGATTTGTAGCATGAGCACTGAGAAGGCAGCGCCGCCGCCGCTCTTCTCGATACCGTCCAAGAAGGGCGTGCATCGAACGCCGCAGCCCTTTACGACGACGGAAGGTCGCTTCAAGTGGCAGAACGCGCACTCCAACACAGGCACGTCGATGTATCCACTGCTGCGTGTCTCCCGCTCACCAACTTCAACTTGCACAGATGCGTTGTACAAGCTACCTGGCACACTCAGTCCGATGAGCAAAAGCTTTGGCACAAGCACGCGCGAAGACTGGGACCCGCGTTCGAAGCGGCCGGTCGCTGGTAGGCACCCACATGCACTGCGTCATGACGATGGTAGTACCTAGGCATCGGCTCGTACGAGGCCCCCAAGTCATGCGGAAAGCAAGTGTCATCCATGGCCCGCACAGCCTCGGACCTCTCGTTTAGCGTGGCGGCGCGGTCCTCGAGCCGCACCAACAACACGCCGAGCCCGGGTCCCATTTACAACATGCCGGGCGCTTTCGACAATAAAATTACAAACGCGTTCGGCTTCGGCACCTCGAAGCGCCCGCCGCTCGACGGCGCTGGGTTAGGCCCAGGGCCAACGACCGCGACGCCCGGGCCTGGATCCGCGCCCAAGTACGCGTCGCCCTGCGTTTCGTCCACGTTTGGCTCCGAGAAGCGGCTGCGCCAGAACGCGAGTGTCAAGACGCCTGGACCTGTCTACGACGTCGAGTGCACGGGCTTTCGCACCGGACCCAAGTCGTCCTTTAGTGTCGCGCGGCGACTTTAATCCAATTGACGGTATTTCTTGGATCATTTTTATGCACCGAGTGCGTCGGCGGACGTTGTAGCGTCGTAGCACGGACCCTCTTGGCTACTCGACGCGCTGATACCGTATTTCCAAGCCGAGGGTGGCGACCAAGGGGTCGAGCGTGACGCGCCTTCGTGTATGATTAGTACTTGAAGTCGAGACAGGTCGGCTTTGACGCATCACGCGACGTTGCCGAGGCGACATTTTGCAAAAATGTGCCGCGGATCCCGTCAACACACGCCCAAGTTTGCGGGCGCACGCCAGCCGCAGATATTTGAGCGGCAAGAGACTATGCATATTCAAGTGCGTACTAGTAGCCACTTGTGACATAGGATGTGCACGGTAGACGATTTCAAAGCAAGCTGGCGTCAGGGGATAGAACCACGTGGATCTACGGACGACGTGGCGCTGGCTTCGCTTCCGAGACAGGCCAATAGCTTTGGTCAACTGGAGCTGGAGCAACTTTACTGTTAGTGAAGGAATCACAACAGTACACGGCAGGTTGGTCACATCGTGCTAAACGAGCTGAAAAAACACTCGGCCGAGTTCCCACTCTAATTGACTGCATAACGAAGGCAACGCGGCAGCACTATGGCTGCGAAGTTGGACATCGACTCTCCTCAGCGATGAACTCGCCGGCGTCCCTTTCTCATCACCTCCATTAGGATACCGCACATGGGCACATGCACCACATCCACTACAGACTGCGGTTGCGACGCCATGCCTGACCACGAGGACCTGGCGGGCGGCAGCTCTCCAGGCCATAATGTTCGGGATTTTAGTACGCATGCACCAAGAAACATTAGTCATAATGTAATAGTAGATCACAATCATCTCTCATCAATATATTGACCGGGCCACAAACCAAGCCGCGAGACAAGAAGCCAGGTACTAGTACGAGTTGTCGTCTACTCTTTAGATCAACTCCATCTTGATCTCCGTGGGCGCCTTGACGTCGCCGTTGTGGATATCGAGGCGCTTGAGGAAGGCGTCCAATTCGCCCTGCAACTGCTTGTGCTCGTCCTCCGAGAGCTTGACAACCGTGCCCTGCTGCTTCTCGAGGTTCTCAGCGAACGCGCGGAGCTCCTTGCCAAAGGCGGCGGCGACGGGGTCCTGCTTGTTGTCGTCGGGCTTCTCCGACAAGACGTCAAGCGCCATCTGGAACGCCTCCGTCTTGACGGCCTTCTTGCCCGACGCGAACTGCGAGCGGACGGCTTCGGCAGCCTGCGAGATCATGGCATCCTGGAGCTGCTGGTTGTAGCTCTGCTCCAAGTTGTGGATGGCCTCCAAGTTCTTGACGTAGACATCACGCGTCTTGTGGCGCAACTTCTGCGACTGGACGCGGCACATCAAGGCAAGAGCCTCCTCGTGGGCCACACCCAAGGCATCAATGTCCTTGCGGATGGTCAAGATGGCTTCGTGGGCCTTCAACGTCTCCTTGGCGACGGCCAAGTTGGCATCTTCGACGGCGTTCTGCTCACTATACCGCCACACACATTAGGTGACCATTTAACGAAATGAGGGCAACGTACGCCAAGATAGCGTTGGCGCGGGCTTCGAAGTACGAGCCAACGGCATCACCGCCGAACTTGTAGGCCGACGTGCAGAAGAGGAGGAAGCAGCACGCCAACTGCGACTCGGCGCCGAGCTCATAGAACTAGAGTTTGCATAAGTCCCACGATCGCATAGAGACGACAGGCGTACGCCGTTGCTGAGCGCAGGGATCGAGCACGCAAGCACAAGCGGCATCGAGATCTTCCAGTCATCGAGGCCGATCTTCTGGAAGACGCCGTCGTGGTTCTCGGCGGCAACGGCGACCTCGCCTTCCTTCTCTTCCTTAAGGCGGAGGGCACCTACATGGACGCATTGGACTTCACTCCTCTACCTCGCGATGCGTGTACCCGTGTGGAACGAAGCACCGAGGGGCTTCAAGGCCGAGCGGCGCGCGGCCGTGGCGGAGCGGAGGGCAAAGCGGCTGAGCATCGTCGAAATGAAAAAACCAAAGTCCCGAAAATGTATGGAGGAAAACCAGTCAGTTCCCCGCGCCCGTAAAAAGCCATCGAACATTGAGACCGGCAGGTTTATCCGGATACGCCGGATACAACATGAGGTGGACGGCGCCTGCCGCGAAGCGGCACTCATAAGAGACATTCAAAAACCAAGATAGCCGCGTTCGATCGGGTTCGTCGGATACGAAAAGGTCGGCCTCGGACCAAGATATGGATACCTCGAACAAAGTATGCTTGGCGCGCGCCGTCGTCTTCACACTCTCACGCAAGAGTACGTGTAGCGTGCTACGCGTCGTAGTCCGATCTCAAGTACAATGGGCTCGTTGGTTTATTTTGCTTGATGCCACAACACACACCACTAGGAATGTTGGGGCTCGAGCTAAGCTTGCACCTGCATACGTCATCATGGTTGCATCTCCATGACAATCGTTCCGCTACGCGCTTTGATGCACAAGCAGGACAAGCTCAAGGAATACTGACAGGCGTAAAGGCAGCAAGTAGCAGCAAACATGGAATGCTTCGCCGTCGGACCTCCATTTGAAGTAGCTGCCTCTTGAAGCTGGCTCAGCGTGAGCAACAGACAAGGATTCTGTTCCACGAAGTGCTCACTTTGACAGCAAGCATAGAAGGGAGGTACAAGAGCTAAATGGGATCGCTACCAGTAGCATTTCGCCAGGGATGACCTGGCTGGCTTGAGGACACTGATGCCACATGACGTGGCGCGCCACGACGCTGGCGACAGCCAACTTATGTGAAGGGTTCTAAAATTAGCCCGATCGGGAACATTGCGATCGTTTTTCCACGTCGCCAGAATCGGAAACCATGGCGGAGACAAAGGACCGGTCTCCGTTCAGCCTCCTCCGAAGCCTCTTCTTCAAGCGGCCAGCACCACCGAAAGATGGCGCGCCGCCGTCCTCTGCGCCCGTCGTACGCTCTTCCGGCTGATTCTGCAGCCTCTCATGCGTGCTGCATGGTCATAGGAAGTTCCCGCGACGGTCGCGCTTGCGGTACCGCGATTGTCAACACCTCGAAAGCGAGCGCACTTCCATGAGCTCTACGAAGTGACGAAGGATCTCGGCAACGGCTCGTACTCGCTTGTCAAGCAAGTGACACACAAGAGACATGGTGGTTGCTTCGCCGCCAAGATCATCGACAAGTCCGCGCTTTCAAAAGTTGATCGTCACGCCTTGAGCCAAGAAGTTGAGGTCCTTAAAAAGGTTTGCGTACAGTGCGCGCAGGACCGTCGATACTCATGACCGCGGTAGCTCAGCCACGACTACGTCATGCAACTCCACGAAGTGTTTGAAGACGACGCGACGTGCTACATGGTGCTCGAGTACCTTGATGGCGGTGACCTTTTCGACCGCGTCACCAAGCGCGGAAAGCTGTCGGAGACGGAGGCGCAATTCATCATGGCCGCGCTTCTTGAGGCCGTCGACTACTGCCACTCGCGCTGCGTGATCCACCGCGACATCAAGCCCGAGAACATTATGCTCTCCGGCCATATGATCAAGCTCTGCGACTTTGGCTTTGCTCGACAGCTCACAGCCGTGGACGAGCGCGCGTCCGACTCGTGCGGTACGCCAGGCTACGCAGCCCCCGAGGTCCTCAACGGCCACCCGTACGGTACACTTGCACTCTACATTAGACAAACAGGCGCATGTATTATGCCACTTTCTTCACACTAGGGTGCGAAGTCGACATCTTTAGCCTCGGCGTCGTCTTTTACATTCTTCTTTGTGGGTACCCGCCGTTCCCGATGAAGCTACACAAGCTGCGAAAGCATACATTCGAGGTGGTCTTTCCACCCAAGGAGTGGCAGTGCATCTCGGACGAGATCAAGAGCCTGGTACATCACTGCATACACAGCTTAGCTTCATCAATGTCCTGTCTGGTAGATCCGCAGCATGCTTTCGGTGATTCCTTCGCATCGTCCGTCGGCCCTCGCGCTCAAAATGCACCCATGGATGAAAATGGGACGACAGAAACTTCCGCCGCGCCCCATCTCGGACCTGCGCAGCGACCTCTACGGGCCGCGCGGCGTCCACGCCATCAAGTACGGCCGCCACGGCTTTCCCCACGCGACACACGTGCGCATTTGTGACGTCTGCCACACTCTCACGTGGTCGTCCAAGTCAATTCGCGATCCGATGACACCATCGTCGTCCGTGGCGCGGTCCTTCTTTGGCACGACAAGCCCACGCCCGAGTTCGTCGCGGCCCGGGGGTCGCTGTGCGCACACGCAGCCAGGACTGCTCCTCGAAAGCGTGGTGCGCGTCGTGCACGGCCCGAGAACCCCAGTGTTTGACCGCGTGATGCGCCCAACGCCGGACAACTGCTGCTCGCTGCTAACCACGACGCGGACACTGGACCTCGAATTCGGCTCGAAACGCGTGTGCGAAGAGATGGTGGAGCTCTTTACCAACGCCATCATCGATGCGGCTGCGGTGACGCCCCCCGAGCCGACACGTCGCGCGCTCGTCGCACCAACCTTGTCTCCCTAGTTTCTATACATACAATCAGGCGCCTCTGTACATTTCATACACGTAGTATCTTTATGGCAATAGCTACTACGCGCACAATGTTTCCTAGGCCATCTTGGTCTTCTTGCGCAAGAGCAACTGCACAAACGACGGATCAAAGCGCCACACCAAAACCAAAACGACCAAAAAGAGACTGCCACCGACGCCAACGTGGAGCGCATGGGGAGCGAGGCTCGGTCCGCGAGCGACGCCTTCGCTGACGAACGTGAGACCCATGGCAGCAACGAAGCCAATGCTGACTTGCCATGGCGGCAGCGTCTCGAGAAATAGGTTGGCGATGGTCGTGTCCTGGAAGAAGCCGACCATGTACCAGAGACAGTAGCCGATGCGGAGCGTCATGTTGATGCAGTTGGCGAGGACGATGCCGACGATGCCGAGCTGCGCGACGTGCAAAAGCCCGACAGCGCTTGCAGTCGTGGCGACAAAACATAACACGAGGTACGAGTTCAGTCGCTGGAGCGCAGTCTTGTCACCGACCGCGTGGACGAAGGCTTCGCAGATACCGTTGAGACCGAGGAAGTAGACGTAGACAAAGTACATGGCGAGGACGACTGGCGTATCGCCCTGCGCCTTGTCGTAGCCCGCAAGGAGGTACAGCGCCGTGCGGGCATAATTGGTGCCAAAGCACACAAAGATGAGGCCGACGTACGTCATGCCTTGAAGCACTCGCAACAGCCACGTGCGCGCCTCGGCTTTGCTGGACGTTGAGACGGGCACCGCGAGAAGCTTGCTGAACATCGCCTTGCTCGCGTCTTCGATTGGCAGGAAGAGCAGACGCGGCGCAAGCGACCCGATGTTGAACGCGACCGAGTACGCCCCCATGCTCTGGTAGGACTCGAATGCGGATAGAATGAGTTTGTCGCCTTCGGTCAAGAGGTACTTGAGGCACGACTGCAGAAAGAGCGTCGCCCAGAGCGTCAGCAGCGGGAGGTTCAACGGCACGCGCGGCGACGGCAATAGCTCGAGAATGGACGTGAGCGGGAAGCTTGGAGCGCCCAGCTGCAGGTAGTAGTGCCGCAGATAAACAAGACCGTGTACGATTGCAAACGCCACTTGCGAGAAGCCAAAGGCGATCATGCCCATGTCAAAGACAACGACGAGGACAACCTGGACAACGGCCTTGGTGAAGAAGCCCCAGCCTTGCGCCTGCACGCGCAGCGGAAAGTTGAGACTCGCGTTCGCAACAATGTACAGTGGCTCGGTAAGGTACTCGATCGCGGCCGAGAGGCAAAAGAGCCACAGGGACGTCTGGAAGGCAGCGTAGTCACCAGCGGTCGTGTCGTACAGGCGAGGCGCCATGCATAAGGCTGCGGCCAACGTGCATAGAATGCCCACTAAGGCCGAGATCCACGCCGTGTTGAGCAGCTTTCGAAGCGAAATGGCCTCCGAGAGGTTCTCTTCGCGGAGCGATGCCAGCCGCAGACCTTCGCGCACGATGAAGGTCGTGGAGAGGACAAGCTCGAGCGAGAGGCTCACGCCCGAGAGGTGTACTGGCAAGCGACGGAGCGTGAGCATGTTCATGACGAACGTACCGCCCTTCTGCAGGAACGAGAGTCCGAGCATGCGCGCGCCGCCGGCGACGACAACCTCGGCGACGCCCATGTTGCACAAGATACCGCGCTGATTCGTAGATAATCTTGGCACTTTTGGCCAATGGACACAAGTCTTGTCGGTGGCGCTTGGCTAAACCAACGCCACATATTCCATTGAACGGTCGAGCAGAGATATTTGCTTCGTACTGCTCGAACGCGCGATTCGAAAACCAAACTCACTTATTCTCGCTTAGATCTTAGTACATTATTTGATCAACCGCGCCTGTAGCGCCTGTATCGACGTGGACGAAAGACTCCCCTCCCTATAAGACGATACAGCCAAGTTACGTTGCGTGCCTTTAGTGTCTCGATCCAGTCTCTTCTTTTGTACGACGTACCATTGGTCCATTTTGTGGCTAGCGCGATGCCCCCGACCAATTATATCACAGTACATGTGGGGACGCGCTGGGATTGGTCGCTTTTGATTCAAAAGCAGCAGGCACTGGGCGCCATGAACGAGTTGCGCCGCGCGATTAGTTTGAAACATGGTCAGCTACCGGGAAGCGGCGACGGGGGACGCAGCAGCCATTGCAGCGCTCGTCAACTACTGCTACCGTGGTGAACCGAGCAAAGAAGGCTGGACAACGGAGGCAGACTTTCTCACAAAGCCTCGGACAGACGCTGAGGAAGTCGCGTCCTTGATGACAGCAACGTCGAAGATCATACTCGCGGAAGAGGACGCGGTGCTTGTCGGGTGCGTCAACGTTCAGCTAAAAGTGAAGGAATGCACAGGATACCTCGGCCTCTTCGTTGTCCTACCAAGTCTCCAGGGCCGCGGCCTGGGGAAGGCCCTACTAGCCACCGCTGAAGCGACATTCACGGCGACATGGCCCGTCGCGGAGATTGAGATCACCGTCTTCACGATTCGCACCGAGTTGCTCGCGTTCTATGAGCGCCGAGGCTATAAGCGTACGGGCCGTACGTGGTCGGCCAATATTCCTGGCGCCACAGTGCCAAATCTCATGTTCGAAACGCTTGTCAAGCAAGTACAGCAGTCACCGCAGTCGTCGTGTCTCTCGTAATGATATAGTCAACGCGATATGTACTGCATAGTTGGCACTTTGTGGTTTGCGTGTGCCGTTGTCACTATAAAGTGCGAGGGCCTTGCTGTATGCTTCTGTGTTCTATTTGCTTGCTTTTGACCATCGAGAACACAAACAACGTCCAAGTTTTACTACTAGTAGAGGCTAGGTCGCCGGCGAGAAGGCTGCACACTACCGAAACGGCATTCGCTTGACTTGGTTCTTCATGGACGATTTCCGCTTGATTTTTTCCCGGTCTTGGTCATGGACTCTTGCGACGGACTTCCCGCACTCGGGTCGCTCTCGGCGGGTGACGCGAGCGAAGCTTCAATGCTCTGGTTGCGGTCTTTCATAGCGTCAAGCTCATGCTCCCAGCCAACAAGCGCAGGCGAAGCAGAGACGTCACCTTGCCACCGAACTTGGAATCGGTACACGTCCGGCACACGGTTCAAATATGCATCCAGAGAGATATCGCTGTCGTCCTCGATGCACAGTGGCGGATGCACGGCGTCGCGAAAGAGCTGCAGCATGTGCAAGCTACGCACGCCTCGCTCGTCAACGGTCGTGCGCACGGTGCTCAGCAGCAATAGTTTAGCCTAAGGTACACCAGATATATAGGCTCAAATGCAGAAATGTCTCATACCTGGACGCTGATGCAGTCTTGGAGCATCAGCGTGAGTTTAGAGCCGTGATACCGCACGAAGCTCGGGTCTTGTTGCCGAATGTCCGTCAAACATGTTGTGAGCGCTAGTAAACTGTTTCGGCACTGATGGTCGCACGGATGCGATCCGTGTCCTGCCACGTTGTCGCAACTGTGGAGTCCATTCCGGACGCCAACTCGACGACCTATCGCAATTAATTGTGACCGTAGCGAACTTGCAGAATCCACCTGGAGCTTCGACTTGGTTGTGCAGTTTGAGAAGACATGGCTCACAGTAATGCAAATCGTCACAATCTTGTGTGTCAGATGGAGCATTGTTGGGCACGTTTCGCAGATGCGTTCAAAGTTTTTGGCTCCTTCTGCGGCCGCGATCTCTGCGTCGTGTGCGTCACGAATGTCGAGGACGACAGTTGGGGTGCTGACGACGACGGTGTCGCCGACGGGCGCGCCATCGACGGCAAAGAGATCGTGGACAACTTCACTGTAAACCCCCAAGTAGCTCATGGAGCAGTGTACAGCCGCAAAACCAAAGAGCGCGTCGCATTGCTTAAAGAGCTGCTCAAAGACCAGCGAAAGTGCTGACGTTCCAACCGGTCGCGTGAGTGCTGGCGCGCTAGGGTCCGGAAGCAGTCGCTCAATATCCGGTTGGTCTACAGTCATTTTCACACTGCGACGTCATGTATCGGCGATCGCATACCTTGAAACGTAACGACACACGCATTGTAGCCATGGAGCACACTTTGCACCGTGGGGACGATGGACTCACCATTGAGCCACTCCTTGGCTCGATTCGAGAAAATGTGGTCCACTTGCACGCGCATCGCGTCACCAGACTCGGGTCGGTACAAGAGTTCACCCGTGAGGTAGTTCGCCGTGACGCGCCGCGCATCCACGTCGCTCGCGCTGCTGATGTTGGCGGGTTGATAACTTGACAGATAAGAAGCGCGTTGCGGTGGACGGCCCAGAGCTGGTCATGGAGGTGGACATTCGTGTCCGTTGCATGCGAGATCGCGTGCCGCAACAGTGCGTGCTCGGCGAACGCCATCTGCACGTACTGCCCCGCGTGGCTCATTTTCGTTTTGAGCAAGTTCAAGAAAAAGAGGGTTTCCGATTTCTACACGTATGGGTCACACCATTGTTCAGTACTGAAGAATTGGTACCCAGTTGGTCAGTATGTCTCTCGACTCGTGGACAAGCTGGCGCAGGCGACTCACGGACACCAACGCGGTCTCTGCAACTTGAAGCGCTTGCGACTCGAACACAGCGTGCTGCTGTAGCATGAGCCCTAAGCAAGTGTCACTGCGAGTTCGCATCGACGAGCCGCACCTTGGCTCTGGAGGTGCTCTCGCGCGCTGGACCCATACGCTTGGAACGCTTTGGCTTCTGCTGTCTTGGCTGTTACCGTGCCTAGACGACACTTCGTCTCGTGTTGCACTAACACGTTCTCTACCTTTTAGTGTGTTGACCGAGTGCTTGAGCGCTGCGATCTCATCTTGGGCCTTGGAGAAAATGTCGTTCTCGCACTTGAGCTGCTCATTAAGCGTCCGTACGCGAAGACTCTCAGCGATGAGCTCTTCGTTGTGGGTCGAGACCTGCTGGAGGCGCGTGTGGACTTGGTTCAAGTTCTCTTCCCGCGAAGCGAGGTCGTGCTGGGCTCGCTTCAAGAGCTCGGCGCTTTTCGAAGCCTCTTTGCGCAGCGTTTGGCTTTCGAGCTGAAGTCGCGTCACCTGATCTTCGTACTCGACAACGGCGACCCGAGCATTTGCCACTTGGCTGCGAAGGCTGTCGACCTCGTCCTGGGCCATCGAATGGCGCGCCTGAGCCTCCGAGAGCTTGAGCTCGAGCGCTGTCGCACGCTCTTTCGCGAGGGTCTCTTGCATTGCGGCTTCAGCTACAGTCTTGCGCCAGTATTGGTCCTCCATAGAACTCTTGGGCGGACTCATTGCTGGCGGCGGAGGTAGTACAATGCTGCTTCCTGGAGCCTCCAAGTGTGCGTGCACGAGCTTACGGAGATCGTCAATTTCTTGTTGGAGCCGCTGCTCCTCGGATGCGGCGTGTGTGCGAAGCTCGAGCTTCTCATGTTGCAGCGCTTGCATCTCCGTAAAGAGGTGGCGGTTCCGTGCCTCCAAGTCGCCATACTGCAGTCGGAGCGTTGAGAGCTCCTTCGTAAGACTCACAAGTAGGCTTCCGAGCGACTCGGGGTCCGTCGGGTGATCGTCGTGCAGGGTCTCGGCCCCACGGCCCTCGGATGTCTTGTCCATTCCAAGTGGTATCTTTGGTGTCGCTTCAAGCACGCGCTGATTGGTTGAATATAGTGTTATGGGCGCTGATTGGTGGAAATCCACGTTGGATCTTGGCGGTGTAACGAGAGCTGCTATAATTACAACGCGATGCCTCCACCCAAGTTCTCGCGCAGCTTCGAGGCGGTCTACGCCGAGGACGTCCGTCGACGCCATGCGTCGCCTGCGCCACCGCTAGAGCTCGGCGTCAAAGGCCGGCTCAACAATCAAGAGATGGAGATGCTCCGGCAAAAGGTAGTAGTACTACATGATGCAATGAAGGCAGCTCCAAGACCACGTCTGTAGCTAGCGCAGGCGACGGCGTACGACCACACGCCCGTGGACAAGGCATCGGCGCGTCAAAGCAACGTAAAGCGCCCGCCCCAATTTGTTCGCGCGTCGCCGTCGACCATCTTGATGGACCGCGAGACAGTGGCCGTGCGCAGCCGCGCACGCAAGAAGCCACTGGCAGTGATCCATGAGGAGCAGGAGAAGCTCAACCGATTCGAGCCGCAGTACATTTCGCATCCGACACGAGGAATTGACGCGTCAGCCAAGGCGAGGCTCCAAGACGAGTACAATACAAAGCCGCGCCAAGTGAGGTACAAACGATTGCGTTCTGGATGCATCCGACACGAGCGTTCACGAACTTGCTTACATGTAGCACCGTGCCACTCAATCTCATGGAAAACAACCAAGGTACAGAAGACGACGCAGTGAGAGCTGGGAAGCGGCTCGCACCAGCGGCGATCCCACAAGTGTTTTTGCTCTAGACGACTCTCTGTATGCAAACGACTACGTAAATACTTCTGCATGTCACCTATCGACCATGAATCCACACACTTGATACATTTTTGGTCTTCTTCTATACAAATGATCGGCGACTACAAGTTGGACGACGACCGGGACTTGGCCCACGTGTACTCGCCCTGGTGGTACACAAACCCGTTCTTCTCGACGAGCACATCGCTCTCTGGAGGCCCGCGCGACCCAAAGGCGTACGGCAATGGCTTGATTTTCTCTTCTTCGATCTTGTGCAGAAGCGGCGTGAAAATCTCCCACGCAGCGCGGAGCTCGTCGTCTCGGACAAACGCAGCCTGCTTGCCGTGAAGCACGTCCAGGATCAGCCGCGTATACGCTTCGGGCATGTGCGTGTCGGCGTACCTACGGCCGTTGGCGCTATAGCTCATGCTTAAGGCATAACGGGTACATACCGTTCGTGGTACGTAAGGTCCAGCTCGCTTGAAACGGCGACGGTGTTGAGCCCCGGCGACTTGACGTTCGTCTTCATATACATGGCCTCCTGGGGCTGCAGGCGCAGGACGAGTTCGTTGCGAGGAATGTCAATGTTGGGAAACATGTGCGACGCGCCGGGCGCGGGCTTGAACTGGATCCGGACCTCTGCCTTGCGCTCGTTCAGTGCTTTGCCCGCCTTCATGATAAACGGGACGCCGTCCCACCGAGTGTTCTTGATGCGGAGTACCGTGGTCGCGAACGTGGGCGTGACCGAGCCTTGTGGCACAGTCTTGTCCTCGAGGTACCCTTCTTCGGTCTCGTTCCCAAGGTACTGACCGAGCACCGTGTCGTCGAGTGTGATTGGCTCGATGCAGCGAAGGAGCTTGACCTTTTCGTCGCGAACGTGGTCGGCAAAGTTGTCCCCGGCGCAGCGCACGGGCGGCTCCATCGCGACAAGCGAAGCACTTGCAGCAAGTGGTTCTGCATCACGTCGCGGATGATGCCGTACGAGTCAAAGTACCCACCACGGCCCTGGGTGCCAATGTCTTCCTTGAACGTGATCACGACGCTGGAGATGTGGTGGCTGTTCCAGACGGGCTCAAAGTTGACATTGGCGAATCGCAGCACGAGGAGGTTTTGGACCATTTCCTTCCCAAGGTAGTGGTCGATGCGGTAGATCTCTTCTTCTGGGAAAATGGCGTTCATGCCCAGCGACATCTCGTTGAAGGAAGGCAGGTCGTGGCCGAACGGCTTCTCGACGACGACGCGGTTCCAGCCGCGTGTCGAATACGCCGCCTCCTTGACCGTGCGCCCGGTCGGGATGAAGACATTGGGCGGGATCGCGAAGTAGAAGAGGCGGTTCTGCACAGAGAGTCCCGTCTCCTGCTCGAGCACGACCATCTCTTGGCTCACGGCGCGCATCTGCTTGATCGAGTCGTACCCGCCGTGGCGGTAGACGCACATGTTGAGGAACTGCTGTTTCTTGTTCTTGTCGTCGGTCTTGAGGTAGTTGTCGATGGATGCGCGAAACTCGGCGTCCGTCTTCTCACTGCGCGCATACCCGACGATGATCGTGTGCTTGGGGAGGTGGTCATGAAGGTAGAGCTCGAGAAGCGAAGGGTACGTCTAGGATTGCCATGCATGAGTCCATGCTCCTTGTGGCGCCTTGAAGCGTCATATACCTTCTTCTTGGCGAGGTCGCCGGACGCGCCGAGGACAAAGATGCACAGAGACTCCTTCATGTAGGACGCCATGGCTCAGCTGCTTGCGTCTCCTTGCGAATATCCAAGAATGGGTCGCTGGATTTCTAATCACCTTTGAAATCGGATAGCTCGCAAAATCAATTTACAGAGTTTTGAAGAGGGCCAAAACCTATCGTGGCGGGCTGCAAGCGACGAACAACTCGCGACAAATTCTCTAGCGGGGCTGCCACACGCCGCTGATGCATCAACATAAACGATCGGGTGGCGGCCCAAGCATTGTGACGTAGTGCCGCATCCAATGATGACGCAACCAACACCCCACGTGGCAGCGCGTGGGCATGGCGTGGGTCCAGCCAGTAGTACCTCGGCGGCTGTCATCGAAGGTTGGCAAGCGAGATGGCTCTCCAGCAACTCATTTGATGGGGCACGGAGGCTGTCCTCGCTTGGAGTTGCCGACTTGAAGCAAGTTTTCTCCGCTTCACGCACCTGCTTCAAGACTGCGGTGGCCCTGGCGCTGCATCGATGAACTGCTTGCACCATCTTAGAGCGCTGACTTTGTTTAGCAGTGTGCTTTATTCAGCATGTCGTTGCATCTCCGGGCGTGCACTAGTATGTGATAACGTTATGACAAAATGAACTCCTCGTCTCTCGGACGACGCCGTGCCACTCGACCCGTTCGACACTCTCGATCGCGACCCACGCAACTCCAACAACGCAACGTAGCGAATGTACAATTGCGCAAGGCAGAAATCAAAGGATCCCACGTCAGGGAATCCAAAGCGACCTTGGCGGTGCGGCTTAACAAGAAGTGACTAGACGCAAAGCAATTTGTTGGCAATTTCGTTTGCTGAAAAGCCTTGTCGTCATGGGCCTCACTTGCGGCCGCAAGCGCCCCCCGGGTGAGTACGGAAGAGCGAGATGGGCCAACGCCGCCTGCGCAACCACGGCCCGTTGATCCAATCAAGAAGAAGATGGCGATGGAAACTGCTAAATAGGGAGATTTCGCAACTCACTTCTTTACGTGAGTGATGTCTTTGTAGCAACACAAAGAGAACGCAAATCACTTCGTACTGGCGCGCAAATACAACAACGAGCCTTCGCGCGCTCCGCATTCGCACCTAATCGGATAGTTGAGTGTAATTCAACCAAGTGCGCTAGACGTACTTATCAGATATGTCTACGTTAATCAAGTATAGAGTCTAAAGGCGTGATGGCACTTAAGAGGAAATCCCAAATCGCAAATAATTGCGAGATATGGTTGGCTTAGACCTATGAATACTGCGTTCTATTGGTCAAGAAAATGAGATATAGCCAATGGGTAGGCGGATTGAGACACGACAGTTGCATAAAACGCGCCCGTGTGGTACGAAAAAACACGTTTTGGAGTGGAACCACGCCAATCCTTGGGCATATCCCACTACACAACGTTCCTCCTCCTAGTACATACCAGCACTCCAACAACAACCATGCAACGATCCATCACAGCGGGTCTTCGTGGTCGCTCACTCGTGGGCGGGTCTACGACCGCACGTCTTTTAGCGTTGGCTGCAGGACGCCTTGTTGACTGTCAAAGCAGCGCGCCAGCGTTCCATGCCTCAGCTTATCGAGGCCACGGCCGGGACAACTTGTCCAGTAGTGGCAAGGCCATGGACATTACAAGCACTCAAGCGACGCCTGACTTCAAGTTCCGCCTCTCGGACAAGTAAGTACTGGAATCGATGCTTGAATTACATTTGTGTCGTAGGTTTGTTGCAACCTTTCGCGAAGTTCCACCGCCGTTCGGCTTCAACGGCCTTGGCGAGCTCGTCTACATGCGCACGTACTCGCGTGAGAAAGATGATGGCACCAAAGAGCAATGGTACGCGCAAGCGTCTCATTGCTCTAGCAATCGACGTCATTAGGTACGAGACCGTTGCGCGGGTCGTGAACGGGACATACAGCATGCAAAAGCGATGGTTTCTCGAACGCAACTTGGGCTGGGACGAAGCGCGGGCCTATGCATCGGCGTGCGAAATGTACAAACGCATCTTCAAGATGCAGTTTCTACCCCCGGGTCGTGGGCTCTGGGCCATGGGATCGCCGATCACGGAGGAGCGCGGTCTCTTTGCCGCCCTCAACAACTGCGCTTTTGTCTCGACCGAGGACATGGCAACGCGGCCATCGCCTGCCGATCCGTTTTGCTTTCTCATGGACGCAGCAATGCTCGGCGTTGGCGTCGGCTTCGACACGAAAGGCGCCGGCACCATACGCGTCCATCGTCCGCAGCCTGCCAGCAGCGAGCCATTTGTCGTGCCCGACTCCCGGGAGGGGTACGTCCCATGCAGTGTGTGACGTGCATTTATTGAGTTTCGACCAGGTGGGTTGCATCAGTGCGGCTACTGCTCGAGTCCTACTTTTTGAAAAGACCGGCACCGGCGTTTGATTACTCACTTATTCGACCCGCTGGAGCGCCTATCCGTGGTTTTGGCGGCGTGAGTTCGGGTCCTGCCTCGCTCCAGGCGCTTCATGGGTACCTTCAAAGCACGCTGGACCCACTCGTCGGACATGCCTTAACCGTACATTACGTTGATGTTTCATAGATCAACCATGGTATGCGTAGGTGCGGGCCATTGTCGACGTCATGAACCACATTGGCGTTTGCGTCGTCTCAGGCAACGTGCGGCGGACGGCGGAAATCGCCTTTGGTGACCCTCTGGACGCCGAGTACATTGCCCTGAAGGACTACACGGCTCACCCGGACCGCGCCGCGTACGGCTGGACATCCAACAACTCGGTGTTTGCCTCGTTGGGCATGGACTACGCGCCGATTTGTCACCACATCGTCCAGTAGAACTCCATCGTCGTGCGCTATGACGCATTCATCTTGTCTGTAGGAACGGAGAGCCAGGCTTTGCGTGGCTCGACAACATGCAGCGATATGGTAGTGCAACTTCGTAGAGAGACTGGCGCGGACTGCAGTAGGCCGAATGATTGATCCGCCGAACGACAAGGACGTGCGCGCGAAAGGCGGCAATCCTTGCTTGGAGCAAACTCTCGAGTCGTATGAGCTGTGCTGCCTCGTTGAAACTTTCCCGGCCAAGCACGCGTCTCTCGACGACTTCAAGAAGACCCTTCGGTAGAACTACGTGTGACAACGAGATGACCGGCAACTGACCCTTAGCTACGCGTACCTCTACGCCAAGACCGTCACGCTGGGCCAAACACACTGGCCAGCAACAAACCGCGTCATGCTGCGAAACCGGCGCATCGGGTGCAGCATGAGTGGCGTCGCCCAGTTCCTCTCGCACCGGTACGTCAACGACGAGTTCGTGGGCATTGTGTGCGAGTCGTGTAGTGGCCTACATGAGCTACAAACGTGGTGCAACGAAGGTTACGAGGCCATCCAGGCCTACGACAAGCAGTTCTCGGACGCTCTTGCGATCCCACGCTCGATCAAGACGACAAGCATCAAACCCAGTGGCACCGTGAGTCTCCTAGCAGGCGCAACGCCGGGCATGCACTATCCCGAGAGTCGATTCTATGTGCGCCGAGTGCGCCTCGATGCCTCGTCGCCACTCGTACCGGCACTTCAAGCAGCGGGGTACACGGCACAGCTCTTTACCGTTGAAATTATGCGTGTGATGCGCTAGGTACCACGTGGAGCCAGCAGCTGAGGCCCCGAAAACCACAGTTGTCGTTTCGTTTCCGATCGACGTTGGCGAGAACATCCGCACGCTATCCGAGGTCTCGGCGTGGGAGCAGCTGTCGCTAGCCGCCTTCTTGCAACGCTACTGGGCGGACAACCAGGTGAGCTGCACGATCACGTTCGAGCCGCAGCGCGAGGGCCCGGCGCTGGCGCACGCGCTCAACTTCTTCCAGTACCAACTCAAGGGCGTGAGTTTGCTCCCGCAGCTGCCGAGCGGCGCGTACGCCCAAATGCCGTACGAAGCGATCTCAAAGGTCGAGTATGAAGACTTGGTGGCAACATTGGAGCCACTAGCGTTCAAGGACATTCGGGGCATCGGCAAGCCCTCAGAGGTGCCCGATCGCTTTTGCGATGCCCCTAGCTGCGACCTCAAGCCATAATAACAATTTACACTCTCATGCAACAGCTCTCGAAAACCTCCTAATCTTACACTTGTAAAAAACTTAGAAAATGACAGGCAATATTGATGAAGACACCCATCGCATCAGTAACAATGGGACGGTTGCAGTTGCTTTCTCTACACTCAATTGCATAGATGGAAGCAGCTATGAAGGTTATTTTTGAGTGTAGCTACATCCAACATTATAGGATGCAATCGGGTTGACGTTAACGGTATACTCCTAGGAGCTAGCATGCCCCAGCAGTTGCACCCTGGTCATGTACTGCATCGATCCTGCTAATTTTTGCGATGGTACCGGTACAACTGTACAGTACACTGAGACAGCATATCCAGCTCCTCCGAGAGAAAGGAACGAGATCTTGAGAAATGGGAAGAGTAGACAAGCGCAAGCAAGCCCCTGGGTAGCTTATTGTAAGCCAACCAGAGGCTAATATAGCGCAGTCGATCGCACAGTAGGTTTGCCAAAGATTTGCGTCGGAATTCACCGCGTTGGATTACCTATACTGTACTCGATGCGGTGGGGCAGAGTACTCAGCGGTTAGGGTTTACTGTGTCGTTTACGTTTGCCATTTGCGACCGCCAACCATCACATAATTGTTTCCACGAACAACTTGTCTATTTTAGTGTCAACTGTAGAGCCATATATGTTGTGCAATGTTATGCGTCGGAAGCATGGCGCCACTTCCACCAGTGCACGAGGTCGGTGACCCACGCACAGGGTATGCAGACAAGTGGTGTCGTAAGGGCCATTTCAACCTCGATCGCGCTTGCGTGGGGGTAGGCATCGTTGTTGAGCGCCTTCCAGTCCTCGAACGACGCGTTGTAGCGCGGTACAAAGTCCATAGCAAAGTATGTACCGAGGAGCTCGTTCTTGTAGTAGATTGGGAGACACGCGTAGAACCGGATCGGGCGTCGGAACGGACTTGACGTCGCGCCTTGAACCCACGGGTGGTCGCGAAAACGAGGGTCCAGCGATGTGTCGCTGACCCAGACGGCGGCCTTGGTGCGGACGACGTGTGCGTCTAGTGCGTCTCTTCGGTGCACGCGCACGCGCTTTCCATGGACAATAAAGCGCTGGCAGTCCTCGTCGATCAAGCTCGCCGAGCAAATCGGTGCGTCAAACGCGATGGGGCCACGAGGCTTCAAATCAATGCGCTGAAAGTCACGGCGCCGCACGTAACGTAGCCGGCTCGATGCACACCAGTTAATCGAGTCCGACGGGTCCGTTGGTTGCCCGACTGCCCTCGCAGCGGCAAACTCGTCTTTGGTTGGAAAATAAAACGCGTTCTGATGCAGCTTCTTGCGCCCGCCACATGGCTCGGTGACAACGAGGCGACCAGCAGCGGCAGCGAGTGCAATAAGGCGCTCCGTGGACTGTGTCTTCGAGTGTGCCTTCGTGTCGAGGACGATGACCGTGCCGAGTACGATAGACGAGCCCGGTAAGAGAATGGGCGCGCTTGCAAAGAAGCGCACGCGTGGCGCGGCAACGACGAGTGGGTGGGCTCGAAAACGAGGATCCTTTGTCGCGTTCACGACGATCAGCGGCGTGGTCGACGTCACGACCGTGTTGCAGAGACTCTCAGAGCTCAGAAAGTACTCGCGCGAGAGGCCTCTCGCCGCTTTGAACCACTGTCGCGTGTTGTCGATGAACGTGACAGCAGCCATGGGGCAGTGATACGCGTGGGCTGCGGCTTCGCAGATAGCATCAAAGGTTGGCTCGGGCACGGTGTCGAGGATGCCCGTCGATACGAGCGCGCTAATACGAGCGCCTTCGGGCGTCATATCCATGGGCGACGGCAGCGTCGTCGCGCTGCTCGATGCGCGCGGCATATCGCGATTCGCAGACTGTGACACCCGCGCGGCCGCGTTACTTGGCAGCTTCCGGATACATGGAACCGGATCGGCAAGATCGCCAGGTGATTTTTCACGTGCGGTCGACAGCACCCGAGTTTTTCACATGCCTCTGAGCCAAATCGGTGGCCCATACCTGGGCCTATACTCATAGGTGCGATAGTCATCATTAGCTCAAATCACAAACCTTTGACGAGTGTACTGCCAAGGCGCTCTATCGACCGATCAGTACACGCCAGGTGCAGCGGTGAAAAATCAACCCGCTTCAGTTGGGTGTGTTTATCCTTGCGAGAGTGCTCTTGGCTTCCCCGCACCGGTAGACACATGCGACGGTGAAAGCGATGGCGCAGCTAAAAGCGCGGTTGAGATTGGCTATGTAGCGTGAAAAGCGCAGCAGCTCGTCTTACAGCCAAGGTGACTCGCTGAAACTGTTTGTGTTGGCCGCGACGATGTCTTGTCACTTGACATGTGCTGCCAACGCGCGATCGGTGCGACAAAGATCCGCACCGACAACGCTGCGAGGGCCCTTGCAAGATACTACGACTATTTGATCTTCTTCATGGATCGTTGTCGGTTGTATTGACCCAAACATGACAGCTTGCGCGTTTCCAAGCGAGCGGGCGGTCGACAGCGTTCGTTTTCCCCTTCTTCCAATCCAACTGCGTCTCGCGCCGATGCGTAAAGGTGTTGTACATCGATTTCGTCGCAGGGGTGTGGTTTGGACTCGCAAGAAACCTTGATAACTGCGGATTAAATGGCTGGCTCACTTGCAACGAGCGGCTATCGGCGCCGCACAGTGTCACGGAGCAGTCGCTACAGCAAATTATTCATACGACATGCCTGCAAACGATGCTGGATTATGCACTGGGATCTACACCATTCGGTGTGATGTAAAGTCACGCAAGGTCGTGCCAAAATACAGTCGCAGTATAGAAGGGTTGCTTGACACGAGCGAGGCACGGGTGAGTGATTGACATGTCCATTTGCGAAAAACGTCTGGCGACCACCAATGAAGCACTCACTATACACGAGTACACGCAATCGCACCGCGTATTTCTTGCACCATGGGGCTCGAGTTGCTTCGCCTACCTCTCGCGTCTCACTCGCCATGACTTGACGAACCTTGCCCTAGCGTCACAACGCAGCTGGAAAGTGATGGCGCGCGCATGCACAACGACGTCGACGTCGAATGAGATTCCTCTGAGCAGATTACACGCGTTGATGGACAGTTTAAGAGCACAGTGCGAGCTAGTGCATGAATTTTATCTCGGGCATTCAACGTTAATGCTCGAGTCGGTGTGGTCAGTGATTCCATAAGCTACCGTACCACCGAAATTGACTTGGTGTTTGGCCAATTTGCTGTACAACGTTAGGGAAGCGTGCAGGTTTCTTCCTCAGTAGGTCGGCATGTCAGTCACGGAACCGAGTTACAGAGTTGACCAAGAGCCTCCACCAAAGGCAACCGCACCAACTACCGTTAGTAAGTGCAGTTATAAGGCCATCAGAGTTTGTTCCGGACCATTATATTACGAGGCGTATGCTTTTTAGCAACGGAACGATAACTATTACTTGGTAGGCGCCGTCCACTTGTTCTTGGTACCACCCCAGCGCGCATGCAATCCGCCCTCCTACGTCATGCAGTCGTTGTTGAGAGAAGAGTTCATCTCGCCGTAGCGTCATACCTGCGCCTCACTTCGCAGGAGCTCCTTCTGCTCACGCAAACGCTCCTTTCTGCGACGGCTCTCGCGCTGCTTTTTAGTCAAGCCCGTTGTGGCTTCTTCCGCTGAAGCGGGCGGCGGCGGGCGCTGGCCCTTAACCTTGGCAGGTGCTTTCACAACTTCCCACTCGTCGTCACCCTTTGCGTCACCGGACTCGGACGACGAGACTCCGTCGTTTTCGCTCCATGGTGCTTCGCCGTTTGTAAGGCGGATTCGTTCCATCGGCACCTTGGACTCGATCTCGCCGTCGTCGTACTGCACCGTGTACAAGTTACCGCGTTGCACCTAGGTTAATTAGGCGGTCCCGTAAATAATTAGCATTCCACCTTGGTAATTGTGCCGTTGAACCACTCGCGTTGGTTTTGGAACTGGGCAAGGACACGCTGACCTTCTTCAAACTGGAACGTCGGCTTGGATGCTGGCGCCATGCGTTGCGCACCGCACATCGCGGCCGCGCCAAAGTGCTTCTGCGCCAAAATCTGCGCTGCCGAGAGACCGTCTTCGTCGTCGGATGACGAATCCAAGACTTCGTCGTCGTCGCTGGTTTTTGTGGTGGCAGTTGGATTAGCTGACGGCGCTTCGGGTGTCGAATCCTCCTTCTCGGAGGGAGTCGCCGCAGGGGCGCTACAATGCGACGCTCAGCTACCATCCTATATACGTTGCAGATAGCACCTGTCGCTGGTTGCTGCCTTCTTCTTCTTGCCACTAGGACTAAACGTGAGCGCCTTCCTGGCGTGGAGTGGCACACCTCTTTTTCTTGGCCTTCTTCTTCGCCGCTGGAACCGCCGCCACCGATGGCGCCTTAAGCACGTACTTGTACACAAGGTAGCCCAGGACCACGAGCACCAAAGTCGCGGCCCACTTCATCGTACCTTGCGCTGCCATGGCTGCCGGAGCTCGACGTCTTCAGGTTCGTTCCTTCTCGAGAGTATTATTTTGGAAACCTTCGAAAACTGTTGCGGCGCTCTCTTTTTAACAGGACGTTTTATCCAGCGATCTTGTCATACATATATTTACTCATAATATAAAAGACTGCGTAATACAATGTAAATCTTAAATTTTGCGATTGGCTGGGTCGCAATCTTAACCGGACATCTGGCTCGGCATCCGGTTGGTTTCTAACCGCATCGTATCCGGCGCTAGCTTCGGCGCAGTGTTGGACGCTGCGATCATCGGCGCTGGATCTTTTGGACTCCAACGGTGGGCAGAACGCAGGCGACCGTGACGACCGCGCGCAAGTGCTGCGCCAGTCGTCTTGACGTGATACCATATCGGCATGCTATATGCTGAAATGTTTGCCCTAAAATGTGTTCGCCAGTAGCAGGCTAGTCCAGCCACCACATGCGTCCATGCAGCAACAACGAGCACAAACGCTTCGCTACCGGTGCGCACGAAATACAGTGAAGAGCGACGATTGTCACTTGTACGATACGTGCTGCTCAAGAGACAGTGTCGGAAATGCAGCTTTCTCGTTGCAAAATTTAGTCGCGCCTGATCGGTTGCCAAACGACGCCCAAGTGGCGTGTCATGCATGCAAGATGCACCAGAATCAGGCAGCAAGCTTAGCTCCATGCTCAGCCGCACGAGAGATTGCTCATACAAAATCGTACAATAGCCTCCCAGGCTGTGGCGTATCAAATACCAAAGGGATCGTACCAGTATACCCTTGCGAATACCCCTATGATTTTCTCCTCATAAAGACTCATGCGTAAGCTTCTGGGACTCTTTCATCGCATCATTCAGTACCGATGAACAGGAAGAGCAATTGGTTAGTAGATGACAAGTTGTCCCGCGCACGTTCCCAAATTTTCAGGTGGAATGGTCAACGTGGCCCCAAAAGTATCTTTCGCTGGCTCTCGAGCGTCGACGTTCACCGATTGCATCGTCATGCTCAAATTGCTTGTGTCGCTCCCACCTGCGTCTCCAGGCAACGTGCACGATGGGTCTACCTACTACTGGCTCCGAGCGTCAGTGTCATCAACATGAGACTCGTTGAAGATATATCGTAACGTGTTCACCGGGATCGGGGGTCTGTGAGTAGGCATGGCGGCCCATCTCAGCTTGGGAGTCCACGTACCACACTTGCGCTAACACCATCCTATGTGCATGCTACGGCCCAAAAAACTTGGATCGATTAGCAACCTTGAAATTTCTAAAACGATTCAACGAGGTATTTGATCTCCAAGAGCCTCACTCTTGCATTTGCCCCGCATTGCCATCATCATGTCCAAGCCATCGCACTTTGTGCAGCGCCTGTACCACGCTCTCGAAAAGGCACCCGTGAGCATCTTCCATTGGACGGATGACGGCACAGCCTTCGTGATCCTCGACCGCGACCTCTTTACGTCGCAAATTCTGCACGCGTACTTCAAGTACACCAAGTTTACGAGCTTTGAGCGGCGTCTGCGGCTCCACGGGTTTCGCCGGCGCAGCTTCGCGAGTCAAAGTCCATCGCAACGCGTGCTCCTGACGTTCCAGCACCCACACTTTATGCGTGACAACCGAAGTCTCTTGCGGCTCATTACCGTGCCGACCCAAGGCGAGACACCAGCGGTGCCTATTGCTGACGACTCCAGCGACCTCACGCAGATCTACAGCTCGATTGACGAACTTCAACAGCAAATCACGTCTGCGACCTCGAAGCTCAACTTCCTCGTGCAATACGTCATGGCGTCGCCGCCCGACAACGACGACGACGATGCGTACTACAATGAGACTGAAGATGACGCCGACAGCGACATTTTGGCTGACGACGAGTTTGCTTTTTCGTGCATCGCACCGCTCCCGGTGTGCCCCTCGGACTTTTCGGTGGCTGAAGTTGAGCGAGCTTTGGTCGATTTCGACTTGCCTTTCGTGACGCTATAGTGCCCCGTGACTACTAGTATTGTGTAACCGCTTATTTTATTCCTCGTTTTTGGTTTTTGACAATTCCATTATTATTCGTACATGGTCGTTATCGGCAATAGAGTGATTTTGCAAGCGTGAAATGCAGGATTGGAGCACGTCGTCACATGTCGCATGCGCGCGTCGGATGAATTCCACCGAAAAAAAGTACGATGGGACCCCCTCAACCCTGAACTGGTTTTCAGGAAAGCGACTTATTTTTGACTTGCACTGAGTATGCGCAAGGACTCCACAGACGACGAAGAAGGCATTTCGCTTCACCGTGGACTCGGACGTTGATGTCCTCAAAGAAGTCATGCTTGTGAGCCCATATGCCACACGACTGTCCTTACGGCCAGACCGCAAAGCGCTGGGAAGAGGTCGCCGAGCACATGTGTGTGATCCACGGTGACCTCGTCACGGTCATCAGGCGCCGCCGGCGCTTTGACGACCTTAGGACGGCCTTAGAGAACGACCGAGAGGCCACGACGAGGTGCTGGGCGAGAATTGCGACGGGAGGGAGTGCGAGCGGGGCGTCGTCCATCACCCGTCCAAAGCGAAAAACTTCTGCACGTTTGCAAAAACATCCGAACGCGCCACTTTTCATCATTGAGTTTTCTGGAATGTCGCGCGCCGAACAATCCTGAATTCCACCCTTGCAAAATCACTCTAATATTGACACCGTGAGTGGGCATGCGATAACCCGTGATGGCTACTGTTGTGTGCCCGATCCGTTTCGTCCATTGACACCAAGGGATGTATAACCTTGATTGAAACTGTTCCTCTTGTCACCAACGAACGCTCAACAGCGTAGGACACTGGCGCCACGCGTGTTGGGCTTGTTGTTGTTGTTGAAGTGAGTCTATTTATATATAATTTACACTGAACTGCATATGGTGGTGGACTATCAAGGTGCTACGACGAGCCGGCCGCCGAGAGGCTTAGCCGAGCGCGAGACGTGGCGTGTATACGGCACATGCCGGAACAAAGTTGTCGCGTAGCCATGCGTGTTGGGCTTGTAATGTATAGGAAACATTATGATAGATCCAGCAACTTGCGTCCTTCTTTTCGAATGCACCACCGCTAGCTCCAGTAAGTGTTCCTGTTGGACAGGGAATGGAATTTGCTCCACAACCGACGACCTGTGCGTTTCTATCCGGATGCGGTTGCAGTAATGATGTGGTATCCGGACGCTGAAAACGACAAACAAGCACTTGGCAACGATGGAGGAATCGTCAAAGCACGTAGTCGTCCTCGTCCTCGGGGACATTGGCCGCAGCCCACGCATGCAGTACCACGCTATCTCGCTCGCCGAGATGCCGGACACGCGTGTCACCGTCGTGGGCTACGAGGGCGAGCGCTGTGTTCCACAGCTGCTCGCCAAGCCCAACATCGCGTTGCGAACCTTTGCGCCCATCGCCGTATCGCGAAAGCTCTTTGTGCTTTCGGGGCCGCTCAAGGTGCTTCTTCAGGTACGCTATAGCTCCAATTGCACTGTCGTTTCGCCTCTGACGTCGCCTCTATAGCTGTTTCAACTGTTCTGGCTGATGCTATTTTGCGTCGGGTCGTTTGACGTGCTTCTCGTACAAAACCCGCCCACGTAGTGACTCCAACCGTGAATCTTGGGCAATAATATGTGCGTAGCATCCCGACGTTGTATGTGGGCTGGCTCTCGTGCAAGCTCAAGCGCGCCAAACTTGTCATTGATTGGCACAACATGGGCTACACGGTGCTTGCGCTCTCGATTGGCGGTGGACACGTGTTTGTCAAGGTATATACTGAAACGTGCTTACGCAAGGCAAGAAAGTATGTCCCTAGATCGCGCGGTGGTTCGAGCGGTTCTTTGGACGCCTCGCCGATGGCCACTTTTGCGTGACAGAAGCGATGCAATCGTGGCTGCAAGACAACTGGGCCATTTCCCCCGTAGTTTTATACGACAAACCGCCTGCATTCTTCCAGCCGACGCCATTAGACGTCCAACATGATCTCTTGGTGCGCCTCGATGACGCTTTTGCTGCCGCGGCCGACTTGGTGCCAACCAAGCCCAACGCTACGTGGCGCACCGAGCTCCAGGGGTTTGCACTTGCTTGTTCGAAATGGCTATTTTAATTTGACACGTTAGATCGTCGTCGTACAAGCTTCGCAGCGACCGCCCGGCGCTCGTTATTAGGTTTTCTCACGACGCCACCATCGTATTGATCCATGCGATGATCTAGTTCGACGAGCTGGACTGAAGACGAAGATTTTGGTCTGCTCTTTGACGCGCTGGTGCGATTTGAAGAAGTGGCCAAGGACCGCCGCGACATCCCTAATCTCGTTGTCGCCGTCACGGGCAAAGGGCCGCAGAAGGCTATGTACTTGGAGCGCATCGCGGCGCTCAAGTTTCAGCGGGTCCGCATTGTGACGCTGTATGGCCGTGTGTGCGACTTTCGCGGCGCTAAACGGCGGTACATAGATGGCTGGAAGCTAGCGACTACCCGTTGCTTCTGGGTGCCGCCGACCTCGGCATATGCCTCCACACGTCGACGTCCGGCTTGGATCTGCCGATGAAGGTTCTCGACATGTTTGGTTGCCGTGTGCCAGTCTGCGCCGTGGGCTTCAATTGCTTGAACGAACTCGTCAAGCACGACACGTATGCAACTATATCATCGATGTATCACGATGCCATGCTACGCTAGTAATGGTCTCGCCTTTCAGACGAGCGAAGAGTTGTGTGACCAACTCATCGAGCTCTTGACCGCGTATCCCAAGGTACGCGTGCTGTTATCGTATTGGCCCACACGAAAGTTGATTAGAACGAGACCCTGGCGCGATACCGTGCCAACTTGTCGAACTTCGAGGTACGTACTGCACTGCCATACAATTGATACCAAAGGGCGCTGTTTAGCACTGGCCGGAGAACTGGTCTAACCACGCTGCACCAGTGTTTGATGCGCTCCTGGTCCCGCGCTGTGGCGAGGCAGAATAGTTCAACTGTGTCTTTTGCAACGCAGCAAACTGTGCAACATTACTATATTCTTTGTTTTAATCGTTCCCCAGGCAACACGGCAAAATCGACGATCTAGACCTACCCATTGCAGGCTTATTGCAGACACGCGCGCATAAATTGATTGTAGTTGACGTGGCCGTCCTGAACCGAGTCAAATCGTTTGAGTAGCTAGGATGGACGTGGTAAGTCGCAAAAGATACCGACGTGTGCACCGTGTAGTAGACGTCATCGGAGACCACAATGCCGAACCACTCAAGCAAGTGACGAAAGTGCTGGGGTGAAATGTGACCCGAGCCTTCCGTGTCGAGCTTCCGTAGCGACGCGTACACGCTCTTCCACTTGAGTTTGAGCACGCTCCGGATTTCTTCGGGCACCTACCCACGCGATGCCAATGAGACGCAACAGCTTCCTTCGGATCTCACCGGCGACTTGGATGGCGATAGCGCGGGGAGGTTGGCGTGATCGGATGAGTAGGGCTTCAGCGGCGTGTACTCGGAGAAAGGCTTCTTGCCGTGGACGTGTTGTTTTAGAAACACGTTGTAGTTGAGTCGACCCGAGTTGTCCGTGTCGTATTTTTGCAAATCCGAAGGCTCTCTTCAAACGTGAGCGCGACGCCAGTGTTCTCCATGACTAGAATGCACGAGTCGGATCATCCTATGCCTCACCACGTTCGCACCTTTGCGGAACGCGGCCTGCGACACGAGTCCCGACTTATCAGAGTCGATCGACTGAAACGCCTTGTGCAGCGTCTTCCAGCGCTTTGTGAGAAGCGCCTTGATTTTTTCCTCGACGGCGACGGCACTGCCGACGGCCAGCTGACCCTCTTCGACGTGACGGTTCACGACCGCGTGCGCTGCGGCGTCCACCGACACAGATTTGTGCTGGCTCGAGCGCTTCGCAACAGCCCGCGGTGCGTTCGAGATCGCGCTGTAGTACGAACAGTTGCTTGCGAGGTCGCTCATGCCCGACATCTTGTCCGGGTCTTTGCCGCCGCACGCGTGGAGCATCTGGAGGTATGGAACAAAGCCAGAGCTGTCGACATCAAAGTACTTTGCGAACGCGCCAAAGAGCTCGGCGTCCGCAAACGGAATGCCAATCTTCTCCAGAACGCGCCGGACGTCAACGTATGGAAGCAAGCCCGAGCGTGCAGTGTCCACTTGAGTAAAGAGCTTGTAGACGCGCCGCTGGAGCGCCGGTGACGACGTCAAGTGGTGACGCAGCACAACACGGGCGTCGTCGATCGACCGGATCTCGCTCGAGTGGCTCTTTTCGACGCCAAGCAAGGTCCATTCAGATGTGTCCACAAGCTGCTTGGCCTGCACGCCTGCGTCCAAGTCGAGAAGGAGCTCCCGGTACTTGAGAACGCCAAGGGTTGGGTTGATGAAGCGACCAAAAAGCGAGTCAAAGATGGGTGACTTGCGCTCGACCTTGACGCCATGGTCCTTGAGAAGCGAGAGCCACGTCTCGAGGCTCACAATGCCCTTAAGGTCAGCGTCAGCGAGCAGAAGCGCAGCCTCGAGCGCGTGCAAGTTCTGCTTGAGGACGTTCCGAGTCGCATCCAGTGGCGACGGCGCCGGCTGCCGCCGCCGGCCTGTGGGCTCGTGCATCTCCCACTCGTCCATCTCGTCGATCGGATCAATGAGTTCGCGCGACGATGGTGTCACCTCGTGGTCGTAGTCGGTCAAGAACGACGAGTACCGAATTGAGCACGTGTGGTGCGTATTGGCCTTGTCTTCGTAGAAGAGGACGAGAAAGGCCATTTGGTCGTCGCGGAGGTGCGGAATGTGCGTCTTTGTAATGCTGCTAAACGTATCAGCCGAGATGCGCCCGATGCGTCGGACGTCGGCAGCAATTAGCTCGCTCTTGAGCGACTGCCACGTCTCAGACGACAGAGCAGCGCACACCGTGTGGACACTGCTCTCCATGTTGTAGTACTCGGTCGGGTTTTGCTTCGGAGCGTTCACCGTGTTCTTGCTCGGGTGCGGTGCGTAAATGCCCATGACTTGGGGGCGGTACGATTTCACAAGGTCGCGGTAGTTCATGAGGTCGTTGACGTACGAGCCACACGCACGGAAGATGGGGTTGCGTTGTCGTGGGGCAAGTCATGTCCGAGGTAGTCGCAGAGGATAGAGAGAAATTGCGCGCGGGGAATCCAACCCGTCTTGTGAGTGTCAGCAGCCACAAAATCCAAGTACAAGGCGTGCCACTGTGCGTCCGAGAGCTTGGAAAAGTGGTCCTTGATGTTGGGGCGGTCGTTGTGACTCGACTTGTCACACATGAGCAGCGACGTGCGCTCCGTGAGCACAAACCTCGTAGGTTTCGACTCTGCGTCGCTCACCGAAACTGTCAAATGGGGGTACGCGCGGAGGTCTTCGCCAAAATGCCGAAAGAACTCGGCCGTATTGACGCTGCCGTCGCGCGATGTGTCGTAGCAGAGCACGAGTTGCTGGAATTGGGCGTCAGGTAGATCAATGTGGAAGCGCGCGAGCAGCCGTTGGAGGTCGTCGCGCGACACAAAGCCACCTTTGGTGTGATCATACTGCACAAGCGCTTCACGCAACTTCCTACAAATCCAACGTCAAGCCTCGCGATCGTTTTGCAGGGCGTACGGCCAGGACGGTTCAATTTTGTCGTCGACGAGCTTTCGGACTTGACCTTGAAGAAACGCCCGCTGGACTTTCTCTTCGACGGCGGCGACCGAGAAGTCGTGAGCTGTGTGCTGTAGAATCGAGCTCCCGACGCCATGCGGGTTGGCACTTGAAAATTTGGCGCCAAATTGGCTCAGAAACTCGGTGTAGTTCACAATGCCATCGCCGTTCGTGTCGAAGCGTAGCATGAGGTTCACAAGAATATCATGCGACACGGGCAGATCGTACTGCTTGAGGACTTTAAGAAAGTCCGTTGCTGCCAGAAAACCACTCTAACGGTAGACACGAAAGTAGGTAACCAATACATTCTAGTGCACGAACCTTTTCGTGGTCCAGTGCCTTGAACGACTCTTTGAGACTAATCCAAGACGACTGCAGCCGCTCCTTCAGTAGTTCGTGCATGTCATCGACGACAGCGCTCTGGAACGTGTGAATACGCTTCATGTGTTCTTGGAGGCGCTGCTTCTTGATATCAATGCGTTTCCCCGCCTCCTTGCTGCGAAGCATGGTCGCAAAAGACTCGACAAACTTCCGGTAGTCGAGGTGCTCGTCGTTGTTCTCTTCGTACTCGCACAGAAGTGTCTTGGCTTCATCCGTCGTAAGGTGAATGCCATGGCTCTCGAAGACCTTGACGATCTCACCGACGCCGGACCGCGCCGTGTTACCAAAATGAATGTGGCTCGCGAGGTTGCGCACCGCGTGCATCTCTCCCACCATCTTGAGCTTGCTTACGCGCGGCGGTGGCTCCTCCGGGTGTGGGTCTTTGTTATTGAGAGAGAGCGACGCCGAGACCTTTATCGGCGATACGATCGGAGCCTTCGTGGCCAGCATCCGTGCCTTCCGGGGCGACGGTGCCTGCGATGGCTTGATAGGGCGCGGCGTCACGGACGGCGTGAACGGCGCGTGCTGGTCCGCCATGTTTGGCGAGGTGGATACTGCCAACGCCTTTCCCAACGCTTCAAAACGGATGCCCAAAATAGGTTTCGTAACACTAATCTGCACCAACACGACGCAATACGACCATTTCGTGTTAGCCTTGATGATAGTGAACAGCTCCTCATGAATTGACACTAGTACGCTGGCTCGACCCAGTCAGCATAACCAGAAAGCGCTGCAAAACGATCCCAGCTCTTCCAGGTTGCACACTAGTGTTTCTATCCCGTCCTCGGTGGGTTATCGGTGCAGTAGTGACCCTTTTGACTCGCAAGACGTAAATTAATCTACGAGTCGTCTTTATGCTTGCGGTTTGCGTACACCTTGGTTTTCACGTAATGTTGCCCAAGCGGTCACGCTACAATTGCGCGATACTACCGGTAGGACCGGTAGGCGATATACCGGTAGGACCGGTAGTAAGATCCTACTAGCCCATCCGGCAAGGGACCTGTTTGACGTTTGACTCGCACGATGCCGACTATACGATGAGCAACGTAAAGGTGGCGAATCAAGCGCCCTTCAATCGGAGCATCGTCGTTGGAAAGTAGATCCGGATAGGCGTAAAGCGGCTCGATGCGTTGCAGTCGATGCGCGCCACTATAGGTTACCCTCTGGCGATAATTCGAAATAAATCGTTCGTAATGCAAATTCTACATGTTAGGTATATTTTGCCTCTGTCTGTGCAAACGAAATGAATGCATACCACAGCACTTGATTCTTGCTCGACGAAGCAGTCACGCTCAAGAGAGATAAACTCGCTTTACGCACATGAGATTGTATCGTTCGTCACTTGCTCGTCTCGCGCATGGATATAGCCAGATTTTGCTAGTGAGCGTGCATAGATACGAGTCTACGTGGCTGCATAAACCCTCGCTGCCTTCGAAAACTGGCGCATTCGTACTAAAAGGTCGGCGTATGTACAGTACACGCTGCTGGCTTTGGATCACGATCTGTCGCGTAATGACTGAACGCTCCCACGACCTACTTGCACTTCAGGCTGTCGCGTCAGGCCGCGTTGCATAAGGTGCGCCTTCCACGGCGAAACTAATGCGCTTTATCCCTATCATAGGTGCATTTATCGATACTGGGTGCACTATTGAGCTTACTCACAGATTTGTGTGATAAACGCGCGCGACGCGACACCTTGGTGAGCATAGCATCATTTTCCAAATGGACGCGATCCAGTGCGAGGAAGCGACCTTTGTCGAGCACCGCGAACGCAAGACGGTTGTGGTGCACGCAGAGACAGCCGAGCTCTCGAGTGTCACCGAAGTCTCGCTAGACTTGGCATGGGACGACCCGTATCGGCTGCATTGGGTGCACAAGCTGAAGCTCAAGGACGAGACGCTCATGTTCCTCAACGAGATCGCCAAGAAAGAATTGAAGTACCCGGTCATGGCTGTGAGCTGGATCAACGAAACATGCCAGCGTTTTCAGTACAAGGGCGAGACGATTGAGCTGTCGCGCCACCAATCGTTCTGCAGCAATGTCGTCGCCTCGCGCGAGCCGCTGGTGGTGCTCGACACAACGCAAGACGATCGGTTCAAAGCGCACCCACTAGTCTCAGGCAACGGACCGAATCCGTTTGGCGCCCCCGTGCGTTTTGTGGCGTCGGCGCCCATCTGCCATGACGGCTACGTGGTCGGCACCATGTTCGCACTGGATTTCGTGCCGCACACGCCGACGCCAGACGAGCTCAAGCACATGCTATCGCACATGCACGCATTAGCGTCGACAGCTGTCATTGTGATCGATGGCTGCTTCAACGATGCCGTCGCCGCTGAGAACGACATGCCACGCCAAGGACGCATGTCCATGTGTCAGCGCTTCATGTGCGGCGCATGGTAATCCATTCCAAAGCTCGTCATATATACACACAACACACTAATCCCAGTAGTACCATCATTACTATCAAGTCAAAAGCGTTCTCCACAATGCATTCCTGGTTCTTGCTTCCACCTTGCGCGCGCCAACCAGTGGAGGCGACATGTAGAGCTCAATCACTCGTGCGTTAGGTTTTCATTGCCCAACGCAACGGCAATAATGAAGTCCAATGCCGTCACCTTTTTGTCGTTGAGGTTCTCTGAAAAATTTGAAGCCAAAAACACAACGACTCGTAGTCATATACTTTAGTACGCGAAAGGACCCTGCTATTCATTCCCGTCTTTACTATATAACGCAAGGCGATTCGATTACTACCCGAGCTCGATGCCGCATACTGTATTTGGTGGCACAATGCTTCGCGAGGGTGCGATGCGCGCGATATGCTCAAGCATTGCTTGCAGTGTCGTTGCTGGGAGCACTGGCTCTCGAGCTCGGTGGCGTTTGAGAAGTCGGACGCAGCTTGTAGCCAGCTCCAACGTCGAGGCTGCTGCGTGTATGTCGGTCGCCGCTGTCTCGAGGCAGCCGAGGATCTCTGCAATTGCAAGAAGTCCTTGGTGCAGCACTACAGCGTCGACCGTCATACATAAATCCGACCGTGGCTAAAATACCTGATAAGGTTTGCTGCTGGGAACTCGGTGTAGCAGCGACTTTTTCTTCGTGCATTTTGGCACTCCATAGCTCCTCCTCAAGCCGCGCTTTCACCCGGCGTTGTGTCTCGACAACGTGTTCCATACCACTACGACAATACGTTATTGTCGAATATGATCCATCGCAATGCACACACAGTCTCTTACCATGTCTGAAGTTCGCGCACTTGGACCTCCATGGTTTCGAGGCGCTGTTCAGCTGCTTCAAGCGCAGCGCAGCTTTCGGCGTCCATTTGGCGCAATGATGCAATGTCCGTTGAGAACGAGGAGAACCGCTGCACGAGTGCATGGATGTCCGACTCGCCTGACTCGCGCACGAGCTCATCGAATTGGTTTTCTTTCGTCGAAAGCACGGCCTCGCGGAAGAGAAGGATCTTCGTGTTTGCGCGCCCGAGACGCGTAGACTTGTCCTAATGCTCACTCATACATGGCGATGCAAACGGACAGCTGGCACCTCGACGAGCGGCGAACGAAACGTGCGCACGAGGTTCGCGCGCTTTTTGTCGGCTTCGATGCGCCAGCGCTCCAGCTCCGACCCTTGTTTGAGCTCGGCCTTTAAGTGGACAATCACAGCCGCTGCGTCGGCGTCTGTTGTTTCTTTTTTACGACTACTCGCGTGTTGTTGTTGTTGAAACGAGTAAAATGTCCATGTTACCGAAGGGCCTCGAGTCGTTTGGCCCGCTCGATGGTGGCGTTTTCCAACTGATGTCGCCGCGCGTCAAGGGCTTGCCACCTGTCCATGGCACTATCTTGAGATATCAGAATAAGGAGCGGACATTACTCTTTTGCTAGGGTTGTCACGCGACTGCGTGTCGTCGACGCCGTGGCCTGCAGCGCGTGGCCGTCGGCTTTCGTGCGCTCGTGCATACAATGGAGGCCGCGTACGTACGCATTAGCACGGCGCACCTCGTCTTTCAGATCGGCGATCCTAGCTTCAACCGATGCATTGTCGCTCAATGTCGATGTTTGCTCTTTCCGGAGCTCGATGATACTGCATTGGAGAAACCGCAGTTCTTTCTGCTTTTGCTCGTGGGCAATCTTGGTATCGTTGAGACATTTGTGCGCGCCTGCGGTGACTGTTCGTTGCAACTCGATTTCTTTTCTTGTGAGCTCTGCGGCGACAGCACCCGTCGTGAATGTAGGCGCTTGATTCTGCAGCTCTCTCTGCATTAGCTGCCACGTTGCTGGAAGCGTTGGCCGCATTGCAGTCAATGGTCGAAACGCGGACGCAGGACGTGGTACCGCCAGTTGAGTTGGCGATGTCTTGTTTGGCCGCCGGTGCGCCGTCAGTGGTCGTGGTTTTGGCTCGATAGGAGCATCGGGCGTTGGACACACCTGGTTCGTTCTGGGTCTAGACGTCGCCGACTGGGGGCGCTTTCGCAGAGCGACAGAAAGTGGGTTAAAGTTCTTCTGGGTGAAGATGAATTGCCGCCGGTGCTTGGGGAGTGTGATCGCGTACACCGATTCGGGGTCTCGGTAGCTGGTCGATGGGAAACGAGTCAGCGTCGCAGTACAAGGTGAGGTTGACACCGTGGTGTTAGCACTTGTACGCTGCGGAGAACTGTCGACACCATTGAGTTGCATTCGTGCACCGACGGCCATGAACGAGTCCGTGTGGGCGCGCTATCGTAACGAACTTCAAGTAACGGCTTGGAACGCACCGTCCTGCTGGGAAATTGCGCGACGCGAGTCCATAGCAACGCCCGCTTTAGAACGATTAGTAAAACCTTTATTGGCGTTATAGTTTGGCGAGAGTGCTCCCTGACTGCCGGGATCGGTGCTAGCCGCTGTTCGCCAATGTTAACGAGCTGCGCTAATCATGCCGTCGATAATCTAACCACGTTGCCAGGCGTAGCGAGTTCTCGAATGATCTGATACAAGTACGTACATCTCGTCAATGCTGCTGCACACAGCCCGGATATCATCCGCCAAAGTGCTCCCGTGTCAATTTGCCTCCTTGATCTGCACTTCAATGTGCCCAGTCCATGGTACGGTCCCTGTGCTGAGCCAAGGGTAAAAAACCTTTGCTGAGCTGAGCGATAAAATGGTCCGCAGAAGTGCGCCGGACTTAATTATGGTGGAAAAGCGAGTGGTGCCAGAATTGATCCAAGCAAGTTGCTTTCACCATGGAGCGCGTCGAAGCCAAGATGGACGTACGCGCAGAAGCAGGTTGAAGGACTCTGACACGAGCAATGTAGGGAGTGAGCCAGCGCCTGGCTGCAGTCGAGAAGTCGCTCAGCACGGTCGGTGGCGGCGACCTGAAGGCCTTCCAGGAACAAATGCTTGTAGCGCTGCGCCAGTTGCGCGAGGCGATGGTCAAGGACGCTGCGACCTCGGCCCCAGCCGCTAGCTCCATCTCGAACGAGGCTGCTCTCCGCGAGGAGAATGAGGCTCTTAAGAAGCAGGTCGAGAAACTCAACTACCGCGTCTCGCACTTGCTTCGCCATGTTGCCAACTAAGGAGGTAAAGAAGAGAAAGGTGTTAATACCGCAGCCCGTCTTGGCGCGACGTGTTGGCTAAGATTGAGCTGCTTTCGGTGAAGCCGTGGCGCACGACAAGCTCCCACAGCTGCGTGTAGCGCTCGTTGCTCAGGTACAGTGTCTTGCCGCGCCGGAGGTACGGATCCTCCTCCCCATTTTTGTCCAAGTAGACGCTGCCCCAAATGCTGCACCGTCCTTGTCCGAGCAGCAAAAGCACCTAGTGTGGCCGGATGCGTCAAATGGCTTGATCTACAACACTTACCGTGCAGGCGCGGAGGAGGAGGAAGCAGCCAAAGCCAACGCCACACGTGAGGCTGTGCTGAGTGCATTCACCACGCCCTTGATCATCCTGGCAGCACGCGCCAAAGCAACAAACAAGTTTCTACGACCCGTCGCGTGGCATGAGATAGTGCGCTTGGTAGTGGTGTCGTACGCCGCAGAGGAGGCAGATCGCTGGGTGCTGTGGCGCGGCGTTGCATTTGGCGCACTGTGCATTCTTTTGGCAGTACGCTAAATAGATCTCGACGTAGTGCTTCGGCAGGGCCACGAGCGAGAACGATGCGGTCGGCAATGACGCCTGGCATTCGATACATCAGCTATGAAAATGCGGCCGACAAGTACCTCGGGTTGCAGCGCCATGAGCCACTGGTCGAGCGCGCCAGTTTCAGCAATGGCGTCCGTCTTGCCGAGCCACGATTGCACGTGTCCTACGACCACAGGGTTAAAAAGAGGTGAAATGGCGCGTGTACGGAGCTTGCGGGCGAGGCCAGGTAGCGTCGGCGACTGCGATAGCGCAAACGGCACATAGTGAGCGAGAAGATCTGGCGCTGCGCGAGGCGCAACAAGGCACCACGCGAGAAACTGGTGCCACGTCCACGGTGGGCTCGGAATCTGAAGCGTCGCCACGTGCACGAGGTTTGCGAGGCACTGAAAGGTGATCGCGATGCCGCTGTTGCGCTCGCTGAGCTCTGCCAGAAAGAGCAGGTGGTCAGCCATGTCGACGAGGGTCGCAAGCGTCGGTGCCAACGGGTTGCCGATCGTCGCATGGACTTGGAGGAGAAAGGTGCGAACGGACAGCGGCAGCGGCACAGATGCTGGCACAAACCGACCCGAGGCCCACTGGACAACCGACGACGGTGACGCTGACGAAGCACTTAGCGGGACGAGGGTATTGCTAAGACGGCGGCAAACAGGACACACGAATTCTCCTGGTGCCGTGATGCGTTGGCGGTCGTCAAGCGTCGTGAGGTACGTTTGCATGCACGCCCGATGGACTACATGGCCACAGACGCGCGCGTGACAATGTGGATATGGTGTGAGGAGCGGTGGCGACGCGAGGCATGCGACGCGTGACGGCGTGAGAAATCCCACCGAGCCAAACGCACTGTTGGTGGCCGCTTCGTCGTGGCACAATGCGCAGTCGTAGACCGTCGTTGTTGGCCGCGGACTTTCGACCGATTCGAGCGACGACTGCGAAAAGACGGGGAGGACCTCATCCGCGGGCGCGCGATCTTTTGAAAGGCGGAGAAATGCGTTTTGTTGCGCACGAAGCTTCTGCAGTATCTTGGCCTGGCGCTCCTTAATGTGGTCGGGCTTTCCGGACTTGGGAGTCGGTGGAGCAGGCGCGGTTGGTGGCGCAGACGGATCGCAGCGGCTGAGCACGGCCGTCACGAGCGGCGATGACGGCAATTGTTGAAGAAGCTCCAAGAGCGACGCCGTCGGCGCGAGCATTTCGACACGAGTAGTCATTGCGTCCCACCACGGCTTACCTAAGTAGATTTTTGGTGCATGCATGGAGAAAGATAGTCTTACCGCTCCAGGCACGCACAATTGCATCCAGCGCGTCGTTGGATGTTGCGGGGACTGTCTCTGGCACGAAATCCCGCGGTACAATCGACACCGCCGTGTACAAGAGGTGCAACGCAGTTTGCACAACGCCTGCGTCCTCGGCGCGTTGAGTCTCGGCATGAAGGACGCGATAGACAAGTGCCAAAAGCAGGTGGTTTGAGAGTAGCGCTGAAACGACGGCAAACTGGACGCTGTCGCGCGCGTCGAGACACGGGAGCACGTGATCTAGCGGCGGCAGCAGCACTTGCGTCGTTGGTCGGTTTTGCTCACATTTTTGCGCGTCCATGAGTGTAAAGGCCTCAAAGTAAGGGCAAATGTCAGCCCAGAGTGCTGGCTGCAGTGTGAATGTCGACGTGCTCGACGATGGATGGTTGTCCAGGCCCTGCAGAACGGCTTGTGGTGACGGCTCCGAGCCGGCCGACGTGGCAGCCATCGCCGACGAGCTCACACCGACTTGTTCAAGAGCGCGGTTGAGAATGTCGTCGTCTTCTTCTTTCGTGTGCTCTTTAATCGCATCGAGGAGCTTTAGGTTGCACTTGGATACAAACTCGGTGCGCGTCAGCGGTCCAGTGCTGAGCCAGTGCTTCACTTCTCGAATCTACTCAGATTGAAGACATGTCCGATACGGCAAAGGGTCGTACGAGAAGCTGCCATGATGAGAGCGCACCAACGTGCGTTGGGTCTAGGACGAGCTGGAGTACGAGCTTTAGGAGTTCGTCGAGCATGAGCGGCGCCGCGTCCTTGTCGTCAGGCAGCCAGTGTGAGACGACGTCCGACACAAACGCTGGGTCCAGCGCAGCGCCAAGTTGAAGAAGAAAAAGGTCCTTGTGCAGTCCGTGATGGCGCCAATGGCGAGAGTGGTAATGATACACCTGTTGCCACATGGACTGTCCGTTGAGAACCCAGAGATGGCACTTGATCGACCGCACAAAATGCTGCACTTGCACCGAGTGGTACACGACCGTGTGCCAAAAGGCCGCGCCTGGCCGACGCAGCAGCGCTAGCAGAGCCTTGGGATCTACTCACACACGAGGGTTTCATCTAAAATCCGAAGCATTGGAATGTACCTGCGGCGAGCGCTGCCATCATATCACTGAGCGCACTCGCATAAAAGTGGTGAAGCGGCAAGTGCAAGCTGCACGTGGCGCTGTCAAGGCGCGGCCATGTTGCTTGGCCCATGCTTTCGTAGCACCACGCTGCGAGCTTTGCTTCGATGGGTTCCAATAGTCCTTGCACCAACGTCGGGAGCTCGAAGGGCGACTTGGACGGGTTCAACGGTGGATCCCTGCTCATATTCATGTGAGATCCAAAAAGTAATATCGTAATGGCGCACGAAAAGGGAGCCCCAAACGCGTCGTCAGGGGGCAGCACACTCGTAGATCGGCGGTATCCGAGCAAAATGTATTGCCACACGAGCATGACCTCGTAGTCCAGTACGAATGACGCTGTCCATGACTGCAGCAAACATATCAACCACCGACGTCAACTCGCTGTACGTACGCTCGACTCGAACTCGACGTGGCGGTCTCGCTGCTTAGTCTGGAGGTCCATGCACTGCATCGTGGACAAGATGTCGAGGAGCGTCGCCATGATTGAGTCGTCTTCCAGCTACATACTTGTCAGCGCCTACTAGATCAACGATGCCATACCTGTAGATCGCTGGTGAAGGACGAGGCGATACTTGGCCGGCAATGGGCGGGTGCACAAGAAGCGTGCGCAGCTCCGAGCAGAAGCGCGAGTAGGTCCGCAGTTTGAGAAAGTCGTGGTTGCAGTCGAGCGTCGTTCCGCGCTGCGTCTGCTTTAGTAGTGCGAGCAAGTGCCCCAGCAAAAAGTGCACGAGCTGCTCCGTCGCGGTGCGGCGGGCGTTGACGGCGAATATGTGCCCGTGGATGGGTGCCACGGACGTCACACCGCTGAGGTCCATTTGGTGGAGCTGCGCCGCGCTGTGAAAGAGCTGGCAGAAAAGGCGGTCGATGAAGCGGCTCACGTGCGTGTGCGCTGCCTCGTTCTCCAAGTGGACATTGTATAGGCGTATGTAGAACGGGTACGCGGCCAAGAAAGCCGCAGTGAAGCGCAACTTGAAGTCCTTGTCAAAGAGCAGCTTGAGAAAGAGCACGCCGAGCGCGTCTGCCGACTCGAGCGGGAGCAAGATGCCGAACGTCAAGCACGAGTCGAGCACCGTCGTCGAGGATGGGCCCCAGCGCGTTGGCATCTGCAGCGCGCGACACATGCGCGCTCGGTACTGGACGCAACTCGTCACGATGGGTTGTAGCCACGAGAGACACTGTGCGAGTCGACAAAGGAGAAGTTGCGTTCGGGGCGTAAAGCTGTCGTGGGCGCGGCCGACGTCCGAGAAGCAGTACTGCGTCGTCTGGAGCGTGTGCGTCGAGGCCGCGGACGTACCCGGAACCGTCACCTCGCCGTAAATCATGCGCAAGAGCGATAGGAGCAGTTCCAAAATCGTGTCGAGGACCACATCTAAGCGCGCGCATTCTTCGCTCGCAATGTCTGGTATCGGAACCGACGGCGTGGAGCAATGCGTCTTGCAAAAGCCCGACGGCTTCCACGCGAGGTCGTCGCCGCAGTCGCAACAGCCGCCGTAGCTACACCGGTAGATGCGGTAGTCGTGGTTCTCATGCTGGGCTGGGTCGAAGCACTGCACACACATGCAGCTCGAGTCCGACAGACCGCACGTGCGGCAGCGGTAGGCGATGTGGTCGCCGTTCCAGACCTCTTCGCACTTGGAGCGACTGGCTTGCCCATACAAGTTGGCGCGCGTCGCAAGGAATGTCTCGAAGCTTGCGGTGCCTCCGACCAAGACGCACTCGAGGAGCCGCAGCGTCGCGTCGACGCCATCGTCCGGCAGATTGCGCAGCAGCGAGGCAAGATAAGTCGGGAGCTCTGGGTTGGCGTACGAGGTACTTCTCTGCAGCATTTCGTATGCATCTTCCGGGGTCGTGCTGCCATTCCCCAGCCCATCGAGGGGTGGGAATTGCCGTGCGTCCATTTTGTCGCCGATATCTTCACGGCCGTAAGCTCGATAACGGTTCAAGGCGACGTGAAAGAGCCCAAATCGATCTCACTTCGTTAATCTCTACTTGTGATTCGTATACACTAGGGAGGTAAACGTTAAGAACACTTTCAAAGCGTGAACACGCTGTATTACTCCATCCTTCCTAATAAAATAGAATTATCTCCTCATGCGTCCTGTTTTTAAACATGGCCGGCGGCGCATCCAGCTGCAGTTGTGAAGGAAGGCAACATGCGCGACCCTTCAGCAGGCTGGTTGAGCTCGAATCGCAATAGCACCCCGTGTTTGCCAATGCAACATTGGTTGTGCGAGTTAGCGTCAGCGAGGAGCCCTCTACTACGCCAACTACGAGAAGATACTACTACAACTGGAAATACAAGTGGATATGACTTCTCTCTCTGGAATATCATGTAGCTGAGGATCTCGAGATTGGTCGAGTCCTCGGTGCACTGATTAGTTGATTTCTACAGCGTGACTAAAGGTAGCCAGTACAGATACCGCGGGTACCACATGTCGATGGACGCCACGTAGCGCACAATGGTCGACGGCGCTGATGGCAGCGGCAGCACGTCGAGTGGCTGCATCGTCTTTGCCAATCGGAGTCTATCGGGATGAATTAGCCAAATCGTTTTCAAGTCGGCATTGAAAGTGCCGAGCGGTAAGTCATAGAGAGGTGCTTAAAAGGCAGGCGAGGCGTGGGACTTGCGGTGGACCCTGCGTCTTGGGCACGAGGTGCACAACTGCGCAACGCGAGATTGTTGCACCGCCAAGGCACACTAAAAAATCTTGTAGAACGCGACCCCAGTCGTGCGGAAAAAAGGTATGGAACACGGTTGCGCCGTGTTCATGTGGTGCTTCGATCCTGGTTGGACGAGCAATGGCATCACGCCAGGCGTTGCTCGTGGTGCGCTCGTCTTGTCGTCGGCAAGGCTCGTTACGAGTTGAATGCCGCCGCTTGGACATGCCTTTTACGATATCCCTGTTTTCTTGGGGATGGCATAAAAAGAGGCGGATGAAGCGAGGGGAGCCGGTCCAGTGCGAGACGTTGACATATAATTCACATTGGCAACGCCCTAATGCATGACAAGGTCGGTGGCAACGAGGCGCCCGCACGAAAGGACGAGGTGGGCCAGACTCGCATCGTACATGTACAGTGGCGTCACCGTAAGGTTCAGCACCGCCACCTCGCAGGGTCGGAGGGCATAAAACTTTGTCAGGGAGTTACTTCAGTAATGCAAGTGCTGGACCGCCGAGAGAGCGGTGGTATATTTACTATTATGTACCCCTAGCGGGTTAGGCCTATGACAAATTCCGTAAATTCCTTCCAGACTTCGCGATCGACGGCAGAGCTACGCGGTTCGTCAAGGTTCTCGAGAGACGCCAGCGACTGAGGCGGCGTCAACGACCTGAGGTCGTGGTGCAGGACGATCGGCAACGTGATCTTAATGCGGCCTATAAAACGGGGCGCCTCAGGCAGCGGCAAAGAAGCGGCCAGCGGCAATGTTGGCAGGGACGACTTTCTGCAGGCGCAGCACGTGGTCCAGCAGGCGCCAACGCTCGCGGGCAACGATCTCGCTCAGCGGGACACATTTGCAGCGGTCGTAGAGCGCGACGTCGCCGAGCGTGTTCGGGTAAAAGATACCTAGAAGTCGACGCAGCTGCCGGCCACGGAAGCTGTCAAAGTCCGCCAGACTCGTTGGCGTCAGAGCCCACGTGCCACAGTTGTTCAAAATGACCGGGAGCACGTAGCACTTGTACAGCCGCATACGATTACCTTCCAAAATGATGCCTCGACGCATCCGAATCTTCCACATGTTGTTGAACACCATTGTCGCCAGTCGCTTCCGAGCGTGCAGATCGGCCGCGTCGTCGAGAAGGCTACCGAGCTTCTTGGTCGTATGCCACGCCAGAGAGGTCGCGTGCGTCGGCGCGTTGAACCTGTTACCTGCGTTTCTTCCGTCTTGTCTTCATTCATCTTGAGGTCCCACCGGGCTAAGACGGATGGCGCGGTGGCTTTGATCCGGGTCATGGCAGCAGCGTCGTGGCAAATGAAGTCCAAGTCATCGACGTAGGCGACCGTGTGGGCGAGTAGGTCGCCCTCCTCGCAGAGCGTCTGCGCGAGGTCCTTGAGCACGGCGTCGAGACACACAATGAACAGCGCCAGCGACAACAAGTCGCCTTGTGGCATGCCTATGTTGGTCTCGCACGGTCTGTACGAATTGCCGTCGATGTGCAGCCGGAGCGTCGTGGTCGTGAGCAGCATGCAAACCAGGCGCACTTTGTCGTCGTCGAGGAAGCCGCGAAGCACCGTGAGAAGTCGATACCTAGGATAGAGAACTGGTCTTCATACTGGCGGATCCGGGTGACGTGCCACTTGTGCGACTGCACGACGTCGGCCGTGTTGCGTCCAGGATGAAAGCCGCTCTGATACGCGCCAATGTACTTATCGAGCTTCGTCTTGATCCGCTTGAGCACCATCATAGAGACGGCTTTGTGGATGCAATTGAGCAAGACGATCGAGCGGAGACTCGAGCACACGCCTTGGGGCTTGTTGAGTTTGGGCAGGCAGATCAGTGTCCCGTCACCGAGCTGGATCGGCTGTCCTTTGGTAAAACCGTCGTTGAGCAGCTTGGTGAGGGCGTGGCGACGAGGTCCGCGGCGGCCTTGAGGACTTCGGCCGGCATGGTGTTTGGGTTGCAGGCGCGGTTGTTGCGGAGCTTCTTGATCGCTTCGTGGATTCGTGGGGCGATATGGGCTGGTCGAGTGGTCGGGCTGTACGGTAGCGTTGGTCGGGCTGGCGAACTGGGCCTGGAAGTGAGCGGTCACATGCGTGGCTGTCTCCTTCGTGTCCATGATGATGTGCCCGTGCTGGTCCTTGAGGCGAAACTTGGGCGTGGGGCGCAGGAGTGTGGCCTTGACAGCTGCGAACATCTGCGAGGTAGGGCTCAAGTCTTTAATCTCACTAACGAGGGCGTCGGCTTCAGCGCTGGCAAGGTTGTGGCAGCGCATGCGAATCCCATGCATGACTAGGTTGCGTTCGATGCGGAGGTCTTGGGTAGCGGCGGGGTCGGCGGTCTTGGTGTTGTTGATTCGTAAGCGCAGCGCCTTCTGGTCACGAGCCAGAGACGCCATGATTGCGTCGTCGTACCTGTAGCGGCTCTTGGTCTCAATGTGGTCGAGCGTCGTGCTGGCGGCAGCTACCAAGGCGGCGAGAAGCTCGCGCCATGACGTGTCGGGGGAGAGTGGTGGTAGTGCCTCGTAATAAAGCCCGGCGTGGTTTTGGTTCGGCGTGAGACGGAAGTATCATATGAACACGCAAACACAGAGCATGTACAATTCGAAGGACACCATAAGTAGCAGTGTACTCGCACAATGCTGTATATGGACAGATGTGGTGACAAGGGTTTGTCGTGGACCACGCTTTTCCAAAAGACACCAATGCTGCTCGATAATGCATCTATGAAGCGTTTGACAACGAGACACACATGTACCACCAATAGTGGCGTTAAGTCAAGGGCTCGCGACATCGGACATCAACTGTCAGCCACCGCACAAATACAGGTGTACCAGTAAATGAGTGCCCAAGTATCCCAGACGCGCAAACAATGTTGAGTGTATTTCCACGGCCGTGATTCGCATTAAAAGAGCGACGGCGCTGTGGCAGTTGTTGCGGGGGTTGTCGCGGCCACTATGTAAGTGAATACAATCGATGAGCTGAAAAAGCTGTCGTTTTGATTGTACCTTCGTCTTTCGCGTCCAAGTAGGCGCTCTAAAGTATGATGCGTTAGATACATGGTTTGAAGTTGGTACCGTACCCACAGCACTTGACGCTTATGTTTGTCTTGCAACAGGCGCACGACATCCTGAATCACGAGGTCAGACTCTCGGGGTATGTGCAACTTTGCATACCGGGTACAGAGTCACACGCTGTTGGGCGTTAAAGGCCTGGGCCATGAACGTGATGAACGCACTGTCTTCCATCTTGCTTTGGCCAAACTCCTTGCATTTGACCTTGAAATCGGCGACAAACTCGAGGCCAGCGATAGACTCGATAGACGCGAGGACACGCTGGTACACCACCTGGACCTCGCTGCCCTGAACCGCCGACGGCATCGGCTCACGCATGTGCAACTTGGCGCGGATCGCGCTTGGGACGCCAGCCATGGAAGGCATTGCCGGCATAGACGGCAGCTTGCTCAAAGGGTTGCCCTGTGACGGCAGTGCCAGCACGCGGTCAATGACCTCGTACAGCGGCGCAGCAGCCGCCGGCTGGTCGACACCACCCATCAAGATCTCAGCCGGCGAGATTTCGCGCCCATAGAACGTCTTGTTGATGTCCGAGCGCGCCGCAATTGCCGAACCTTGGAGACCCGCACCGCCAAAGAGGCCCTTGCTGTGGCTGTACGTGTAGTTGGGGGCGATACCTTGCGCTGAAATGTTGGCGTTTGCTCCAGCAGCGCGTCCGAATGGCCCGGCAGCGAATTCGATGTTTGCGCCAGCCGACAATTGCCCCTTCTGCATGAACGACTTGACGGCGGCCTCCGAGTTGAGGATGATCATGTAGTTGATAATCTGACCACCCGCTTCAAAACCCACTCCCATGCCGATCGTGCCGATAGCTGATGGTGCCGACCAGCGGCCGTCCGGCAGCCGGGCCAGCACGAGGCCTGTACCGACCTTACCCGTCCAGATGAAGCCGGCCTTGATCACCGTTAGGAAGGCAAGACCCTTTGCACCCTGCATGAGGTCGACTGGAATGCGTTTGTCGTTGTCGATGGCCGGATCAAAGAAGTCGTCCATCGTCTTGACCGCGTACTTGAGAGCGCCCTCCATCGTTGTGATCGCTTCCTTCGCCTCGGCCGCCATGTCGCTTCCTCGCTTCGTCCAGGAAACTGATGCCAACAGGCGAAGATTCTCTATTTTTAATTCCCTATTTGCCTTATTTTGTATGTAATTTTAATCATTTTCGACAATTCGGCTCAACCATGCTACAAGGACACTATTATGAGCCCACTAGACAGCATTATTTAGTGTGTGTATTTTAGTGTTTTCTGGTAAACACAGTTTGAAGCCACACCACGCAGGCAACCTGACTGCGAAGTTCCAGCAACAAGTGTTGCATTTGTATGACTACGCGAATGCTTGTAGTCGGTTTGTTGTGAGGCGCTGTGGCAAGCTTCGACCGCTAGCTTGTGCACGGGGTTGTTAAACAAGGTTAGCGACCAGATTGGTCATCGTGGCTCGGCCTCTTGGTATCCTTGAGTTGGCTACGGCCAGCGTGATGCTTTGCATTGTTGATGCTCGACGGTTCACCAAATACTGGGTACTGTAGCTGTACGTATGGCGTAGCAACGCTGTCCGCGCCTTCTTTTTTGACATCCTAGCTTAGACAGCGTTGTTCCCTAATGCCGTACTGGGCGAGTCCAGGTCATGGCATCTGCTCTATTACACAGGCAACGTTTGGATCGTCGTAATATTTACAGGCCCTTCGCGAGGCGCATGACGTGGTAGTTGAGCGTCGACTTTTGCTTGGCGCTGCCCTTGTTGCGGTTGCCAGCGACGCAGTTGAAAGCGTCCCGCCACTCGCGCACACACTTGCTCGAGTCCCAGTTGTGCTTGGCCATGGCACCGATGAAGAGGAGGAACTCGGGCTGGCACTCGGTCGACTCGGACGCCACGCGGCGCGTCATCTTCTTCATCTGCTCGTGCGTGAACTTGGCCATGGTGGATCAATCTGCTTCTGCCAACCACCACTCGACGTTGCCTTCAATAAAGTGCGTGCAGTGTATCCGGTATAATCCGGATACGCGACGTTTAAAACTGCGTAGCGACGGCGGCAAAAGTGCCTTGTCTCTCTACAGCAACGAGCAGAAAACTCGCATGGACGAGACCGCCTACGACCGCGGCCTCCTCTTCGGCCTCGCGTCCACCAGTCGAGGCGATGTGCTAGAATCTCTCAACGTCCTATGCTCCAAGCGCCGCCTCCTCGAGAACGTACGAGCGCGCGACCCGTCGCTTCAAAGCTCAATTCATGGAAATAGGGCATGACGTTCGAGGATCGCATGGAGGCCATGGTGCGTCTCGCTGCCGTACTCACAAGCATGGCCAACGACGACGCAGACGTACTCGACCGCGCCAGGTCGCTTATGGTATCGCTCCTGATTGAATCCAAAGGGGCGATTGCTCGCACGGTGCCCGAGACGCTGGACACGCTGCTTGGCGCGATAACGCAGCGTATTCCCGTTCAACGCCTCTCGTCCGAAAACGTAATGTTCTTTGTCCGTCACACCTTGGTCTAAAACATGATGCTGGATTAGATGCGACTTGTCTGCTTCACTGCGCTCGTGGTGCTGCTGGAGTGCGCGCCGCTGGCGCCGACGGATCCCTTCGTAGTGCATCTGCACGGTTTTTTGCACAGCCAGCTATGGCCATACGCAACAACGATCATGGACACAGCGACGGTCCTTAAAGAGTGGCAACTGACCGACACCGACGATGTGCAGCTCGTGTCAAAGGCTCTTGCGATTCGGCATCCGACGATTTCTCCGCTCGTTGAGCAGCTCTGGTCGGCATCATTTGCCGCGTTGATTGCGACAGGCATCATTCTGGCCTTCGTCGCGTGCGTTTTCTGCGACCCGTGGCATCAAGGCTACGTCATCACAGGCACGGGGCTCATTGTGCTCGGATACCACTGCCTCTCCAAGGTTCTTCGAGAGCAACACGCGCGCACTGCGCTCACATGTGCACTTGGTGCTCGGTGCACAGCGCTTATGGAAGGCCCAGTGACGCTCGTCCCACCGCTTTCCCCAGTCCCAGTCACTGACAGCGTTCTCGACGAGCCCGCGATCCGTGTCGCGCTTGAGACAATGTCGCCTCGCAACGACGACGTACTTCCCGCTGCAACGTCGCTGCCTCTGATGACGGTGCCAGAAGATGGCGCGGTGCCAACGATGGCCGAGTTCATGGACCGAATGAAGCCAGCCGAGATGTTGTCAACCCTCACGCGACTGCACACGTTGATTCACGAAGCACCCGAGGACGACGTTAGCGACGACACAAGAGCCAAAGTCGCCAACAGTCTAGCGCTGCTTGAAGCAATGCAGAGCCAAGGGACTGAAATGGATGCATAGGCGTGTAGTTTATGATACTAGTATAAACGAGGGTTTCCTTGTAATTGATAAGAAGAACGGGGCTTCGTCCTCTTGGTAACGAGTGGTCTGTCTTGCCAAAACCATGTCACGTAAAGCAGCATTCGCAGCAAAGGTCGCAGCAAAAACCAATCGACGTCGGGCGTTGCGAATGATGCCGCACGGGTAAGGGTGGCTCGAGGCTGCCCGTCTTGTACTTGGCGCGCTTATTAAACTGGGACACACGATATACAGCGTTTTCGTCAACGAATGTCTTGAGCCATAGCACCTTGAACCTTTCCTCAGCGGGGATTGAACTAGGCTCCTAACGGAAACTCGTCCAACCTTGTTGGGTAGTACTTCCCGAACCTGGCGCTGCTTGATGCACTTTTGCTTGGCCATTAAGTGCGCGAGCTTGACGTCGTCCCAGGCCGCAGGCGTCATTGGTCCGCGCATGACAGCACCAACCGTCTCTGGCGTGATTACTTGCACGACAAATCGACCGCGCTGGGCCTGCGGGATCGCTTCGTAGATCGGGTACTGACCGTCGCCACGGTAAAGTGTATCCCCCAGAGTGTAGCACTCGGCGAATGCCAAATGCTCGTCGTCGTAGTATGTTCGCGGCGGAAGCGTCGGGTGGCTCAGTGAGCAGAGGCACAATAGCGCGATGAATGCCGCAATTCCTGCCACGATCCACAGGACTGCTGTGAGAAGCGGGTCCATCGCGGGTCCAAAACGGCACTTCAACCGGCATAACCGGTTAAACGCATGGCTCGATTTTTCAGGACCGGGGAGCTGAACCGGTTCTCTGCTCTTCGTTTCGTGTGTCTGGTTGACAGCATTCTACTCGTTGAGAAGCAAGCATGGCTACGCGCAAAGACAACTTCAAGAAGGGCATCGACGTCGAGGACCAGCGCAAGAAGCGCGAGGACACGACGATCCAGATCCGCAAGGTCAAGCGCGAAGAGCAACTCCAGCAGCGCCGACGTCTGGCTGTACGCCCAACGCGCCTCCAGTCGACGCTAATGCGACCCGATTCTAGGCGGAATCCGCCGGCGTGCCCATGACGATGGGCGTGGCCGACCCGTCGCTTCTTGAAAAGGTGTGCGAAACTCTTGCACTCGCTAAGAGCCTCAAAGCCTACATGTAGCTTGCCGAGTTGCCGCAGCTGTGCATGAACCTGCAGAGTCCCGACTCGGAGGTCCAGCTCGCGTCTGTGAGCAAGTTCCGCAAACTCCTTTCGATTGGTGATGTGAAGTACTGCTGTCGAAAATGGTCTTACTTGTGCTGTAGAGAAGAACCCTCCGATCGAGGAAGTCATCAAGCTCGGGGTCGTGCCAGTCTTTGTCGAGCTCTTGAAGCGCGAGGACTACCCAAGTTTGCAGTTCGAGGCAGCTTGGGCGCTCACCAACATCGCCTCTGGTACGTCGGACCACACCCGCACGGTCATTAGCAGCGGCGCCGTGCCCATCTTCTGTCAATTGCTCCTCTCGCCGAACGACGACGTGCGCGAACAGGCTGTTTGGGCGCTCGGCAACATTGCTGGCGACTCTGCGCAATGCCGCGACATCGTCCTGAGCTGCAACGCACTGCGGCCACTCATGCAGCAGCTAACGATGAACTCCAAGACGACGATGCTGCGGAACGCGACGTGGACGCTTTCCAACTTTTGCCGCGGCAAGCCCAAACCGCGTTTTGATGAGTGCGACCTTTCCTCTCGAATTGCTGCAACTTATCCATCAATTGTAGCGTGCGCCCAGCGTTGCAGACGCTGGCCCAGCTCATTTTGACGCAAGACGACGAAGTTCTAACGGATGCGTGCTGGGCGCTTAGCTACCTTTCGGACGGCGAGAACCCGCAAATCCAGGCGGTCATCGAGGCAGGCGTCTGTCGCCGTATTGTCGAGCTGCTCATGCACCGCTCGCCGTCGGTTCAAACTCCGGCGCTGCGCACGGTCGGTAACATTGTAACGGGCAACGATATCCAGACGCAGGTCATGATCAACTTGAACGTCTTGCCGTGCCTGCGCGCACTGCTCGAGTCGCCGAAGAAAGGTATCCGCAAGGAAGCGTGCTGGACGATCTCAAACATTACGGCCGGCAACACCCAGCAGATCCAGAACATTATGGACGCTGATATCTTCCCCGTGCTCATCCAGTATCTTGGAGCCTCGGTACAGCCACAGTCATTGCTCAATGATCTGTTGACGCGTCATCCTAGACGGAGTTCGACATTCGCAAGGAAGCGGCATGGGCCATCTCGAACGCAACTTCTGGTGGCAGTCCGCTCCAGATCAAGCAATTGGTCTTCTTTGGTGCGCCATCATTATATATCATGAATGTGACGGACTCCCATAGGCTGTATCGGCGCTCTTTGCAGTCTTCTTGACTTGCACGACGCCAAGGTCATTACGGTCGCACTCGAAGGTCTCGAGAACATTTTGCGCGTTGGTGAAGAGGAAGGCCAAGCCAACCAGACGTTTGTGAATGCCTTCTCCAACCTCGTCGACGAGTGTGACGGTGTTGAGAAGATCCAGATGCTCCAGTACAGCGAGAGCGAAGGTATGCATCGTGATATATCGTCGAACCCGGTGCAACATGCCAATGTAGACATTTACAACAAGTCGATGACGATCATCGAGCGCTTCTTCCAAGGCGAAGAGGTTGAGAGCGACATGGCCGCGCCCGCTGTGCAGAACGACCAGTTTATGTTCGGCACTGATGCTTCCAACGCTCCCATGTTCAACTTTGGTCATCCGCAGCAATAAGATCCCCCGACCAAGGACCTTAATTTTGCCTATAAGACTTCAAGAAGACACGTCTCTGCATAATTTTTATGCGATCCGAAGCTACATTCACTATAAAAGCAGTTGCTCCCAAGAACGAATCGGTCAGTGTCGCAGCAATGCTGGTAGACTCGCTACCAGCGCTGAGCGTGAACAATGGACCTGAGCAGAAGTTTCGCGACAGCTGTACAAAAGATACCTCATCAACTCGGGTGAGCCATGTGACCCTACGGCCACACTATTGCCACTCGTTCGTTGGACCGGCACGAAGCCAGTAACACATCGCTCTTTCGAGAGCCGCCATCGCCGCACGGACAAAATAGGCGTCGTCGTTGGTTTAGAGGCAGGTCGAGATCACGACATACAGCATCGAATTCAGCGCGTGGCTGCGGGATAGCAGTAGCCAGGCTCTCTCGAGTTCTCAGTAGGACCTCGCAATCTTGCGATTTCACTTTCTCGAGCAGCCAGTTCCGCGTAGGATCTAAGACGTCAGCTTCCCCGTCCTCGCGATACACATCGAGCTGCGGCAGAGTAGGAAACGCACCGAGAGAAATGTTCTGGTCTTGCGAGCGAGAAAGCTCGTCGATGCCGCACAGCGCACCGGCCACTGGTCAGCAGGAGCCGGCATCAGCCGCCAATGCCATCGCAGAGCGCTTGTGCAAACTCGTTCCATTACGCACATGAGCGAGAGAGGTTAACAAAATACAACGGGGTGACAAAGATGCCGCGGAGCATATATCTCACCGATGCGCACTGGGCGCGCGTACTCGTGGGCTTTCATTTGCCGCTCCGCGACACGCACTTCAGGTAAAACCGTGGACTCGCACCGCTCATCGTTCCCCGCTTCGCGGTCGGTCGTCCGAGCACTTCAGCCATATGGAGTCAGCTATGCGGTGCGCGACGCCATACCGGTATACGACTAATGCGATACCACAACACTAAAACAGCCAATTGAGCCCAATATACCACAAAAGCGATCACACATCTGGAAGCATCCAGTTACCAAGCTGACCAAAATACCACAACCAAAACCTGTCATATAGATACGTCAGCAGGTGCGCCATGACGCCGTGCGCACTCGCTTCGCTCGTGGGGCCGGTTCGAGGCTAAGGATGCATATTCTCTTTTCCACTCAAAGAATATGGCATAAATATACGAGATCGTCGTGGCGAGTGGCCTCACGATCGGAATTGCCCTGGTCAATCAATCATACTCTATGACGCATGCAACCGTACCAATAGCTTCCGTGCGCGAGCGCAACGCCGAGGCACAGCAGAAGTGACCCAACAAGAGGAAGCGCTGTCAGGCAGGACGCTGTAGAGGAGACACGTACGGACAAGAAGCAGAATCTGGCGAAAGATGCGCTGGAATAGAAGGCGCGACGCGAGCGGACGCGGGTTGCTGAAGCGCTGGACAGTTTTCACTCTCTTGAGCTGGCCAGTGCAGGCCTTTCGCTTTGCCCACTACTACAACCACGGCGCGTGTACAACTATGCGCAAAGAAGGTCTTTCTCGCGCCAGTCGAGCGTGCCGCCACGAGCGTAGAGCCACACCAATCTGTAAAGTGTCGAGTCGACGTGTAACACGATGCTGCCGGCCGCACGACAAGCCGCTCTCGCAAATTTCGAAGCTACCTCTGGCACCGTATCCAAGGCTCGGACACGGCGGTGCAGCTGAGCAGTGCTGCATGACTTGAACCCGGGCATGTCGTGGGTCTGGAAGCACTTCGGCAGACTCAAAAGCGACCCAAAAAAGGCTCCTCTGGCGCCGTTACCGACATCGTATGCCGTGCGTGCCTGGCTGCCAAGCTGGCTGCCCGTCCGCGATTGCCTCGTCACCGTCCACAAGAAGAGTCAGTTCATCGAAAGCCCCGCGTCAGTACGAGGCCAAGCACCCCAAACTCGTCCCCGTGGTCGTCCCCGGAGATGAGGCAGCGCCCGCTGCAACGACGTCGCAACCCAACGCCGCCCCAAAGGTTCCGCGGCAGGTTGGACCACGGCATCAGCAAGGACAATGCCGACTACCTTGCGCGCGTGTATGCATGCGTGGCCCGACTTGTCGTAAACCGCAATGCTGCCCTCAACTTGGTTACTGACGAAGACGTATCAACTTTGTCGACTTCCTCGAACGCGAGCAGCGTAGCACAGTGAGCCCGGCCTCGTTGAAGAAGATTGCCTGCAGGAGCTGGGTCCATCTCTTCAAGCTTGTGGTCGTCAACCTCTGGTGGCACAAGAACGGATGTCACCACCGCCTCGTCGTGCGCATCGCGGCCCGTGAGCTGACGTGACCACTGGTCACGTCGCGTTCGAATCTGGTCACTGACCAGATTCGAACGCGTATCAGGAGCGTGTCTTCTCGCTTTGCAAGCTGATCGACTCGCCGTTGCCCCAGAACATCGGCAACACAAAGTTTGAGATGCTTCTCGTCCTTGCGTTGGACAAGCGAACTATGTCTGCCGAACGCGAGCTCGTCAAGGTGCTCGAGGCGACGACGACAGCCTCGGAGTCTGCCACAAAACTCATTCACCTTAACGGCAACATCGACAACGATGAGACCGAAGCCAGCTTCATCGTCGTTGAAACGCTGCGGTCGGCGGCCAAAGTCGGCACGGCGTCGAAGGAGCACAAGATTTCTAGCGATCAATCAATCAATCAATCAATCAAACGTGTTCGCGTTGAAATCAAGTTAGCACAAACTAACTCCAAGACTTCGCATACGTAGTGCTACGCCTGAATGCGTGGGAGAAGGCACCAACCAGCACTTGGTCGTTGGAAGTGAGCTGCGCACGGAGAAATCCATCCCGTGGTGGGCCCCACTCGCCGAGGGTTAGCTCGCTCGAGGTCGTACGCAGGCTCCTGTACTCGGACCACCCGACAGAGGAGTGCAAGCTGTCGGGTGTGTTTCAAACCGTCCGAGCCCGCATCCAAATACATCCGGATACCGACCGAACACGTAGAACCGACGCCGCACGAGGCGAGGCCGAACAGCTGGTGGCAGCGGCGGAGGGCCGGGAGGCGACGGGACTTCGTGGTGGCAGAGCGACCGCGCCTGCGGGGCAAAAGCACGAGAGGGCCAGCGACGTTTCTTTTCTTGACGGCTGCCGGGGACTCGACGGGCCTTAAATTGTCGAGGGGCATTGGGTGCCGAGCGCGCGAAGTGTGGGGCCATCGGCGCGACCACCGACCGCCGCCAGCGACTTGTACTTACACAGCAGGGGACGTAAGACACGGAGCACACAGCACAACGGAGCGCGCCATTGCCCTGCGGATGACACGGTAAGCCGCGCCGCGATAAGTACGAATTTGGAGACAATAGACCAAGAGCAGTATGCATGTGCACACCACTTAAAAAAGCCTTACCACAGGCAAATGCAACCAATATATTATGCAGGCTACAAATAAAAAACACGAAATAACATTCTGGTAGTTACATGTACCTGGCTGCCCGAGTACGAATAGTTTAGCGCAGGGAGCAAACTAAGTAATGAGCCACTCTTTGCTCGAGAGTTAAGGCTCCGTGCCTTTTGAAGCATTGCACGCTGACGTACTGACGAATCACACCATTTGTTGCATTTAGTCGCCCACTAGGGTTAGCCCTGTGGCCACACTCTTCCGTGGGCGTAATCTTCTTTGGGAGAAGCAGTTGCCTGATAGTATGCTCGTGCTTGTTACGACGTTATAGTGTCAGGCAGAAGGTCTTTCTGTTTGTTCTGTGTTTTGCTAACACGTTCGCGTCCAGCGCAAACCCGGGTAGCAGAGTCAATTGCAAGCGATCTAGAACAGCTAAGTCGTGCTGGTCGCTCCCTTTGATAACTAGCGTGTCAAGAATTGCTTACCACAAATCATATTTGGGTCCATCGTGTTCAGAAATGTCCGATGTAGTCAATGCGATGCGCTTTTGATTCGTCTAAGATCGCATACCTACTTAACAATATGTTAAGGCAAGGTCCAGATAGATGCAAAAGGTGATGCTTTACGACGCTTTTGTGCGTTGCAAACCCGCAGTGCGTTGCGTGGATATCGCTAACTTAGAAAAAAGAAGGATACAGTAGAAGACAGCCATGCAACAGTGGACACTGCGAGGAATTAGACAGAATGCGATGGTGTCTTCGCACAGAACAAATACACGAACAACTACTGACAGGGTACAAATGAAAACTGTGAACCAAAAGCAGTGTGCGCGTTCACCACTTATCAGTGAAACCTACCTGCGAGCAAATACAACTGATATACATGCAAGCTACAGAAAAAGATAAAACGGCAACACCAAACGGCGATCAGTTGTACGGGCTTCCTGCGTACAGCTAGTTTTGTGTAGGGGAAGGCAAATTCCGAAATGAGCCACCAGGGCTCGGCTTAGCCAGTCAGCCGGTTACCATCCATCGCCCAATAAAAGCATCGCACATCCACGTATTAACCAATCACACCCATTTCTTGCACACGGTCGGTCATAAGAAGCCGAATACCGATATCCTTATCCGGCCTCGTCCAGTTATCCAGTTATCGAGAACAGTAAGAAACCGTCGTCCAGAGCGATCCACCAATGCGGCAGCCAGTGCACTCAGCAAACCAACGCTTAACTCAGTCCGTGTACTTAAATTTCGGAACTGTCACAGTGCAGCACGCGCTTTGCGCTTCGGGGCGCGATGAGTCATTGACATAGTGACCCATTTGTGGCAAGGCCGCCAAGCCTACAAAAGCTAGCTTGCTACGCATATAGGCGCCTTACATATACACCGTTCAAACACATACTCGCTGCGCACAAGTCTACGGCTGCTCGGCACGCGATTCGCGCAAAACGTAGACTCGCTCCGCTAGTCTTGCCGCTTTGCGGCATATCGTGATCAAGGTGACGCCTTGTTGCCCAAAAAATACTTAAACGGGTGTCATTATATTTGCTCTCATTATACCGATTTGGGATAATTTACCCGGTAATGTCCGGATATCAACCTCGATTAGGAAACTTCCCCTGACAACCCAACAGAGCCCGCACGAGTACGCGGACAGGTGCATTACGTAAAACAATGCGATGCGCACTGCGTGCGCGCACTCGCTACGCTCGTGGGTCCGCTTCGCGGCCGCGTCGGCCTTGCCTCCGGTCGGTCCGAGCCTGGTGATCCGAGGAGGGTGTACCTAGATCTTTTAACTTTAAGCAATAGGGGATTAACTCTGTTATAAATACCCTTATCCGGCAACGTCGAGTCACCATATTCCCCGCTAATGTTGTTGTCGAAATAGGTCAATTAATTGTTAATGAGTAGAGCTCGCTGGACGAAATTGTCTCATCTTGGCCTGTTGTTGGAGCGTCTGATTACGTTATCATGTGTTCTGGGTGAGGCTGCCTGGACCCACATGGTTCGGCCCTGTTCGGATACATAGCGCGGCTCTGAGAGGGCTGAGAACTGAAAAATGCGCGCGAGCAGCCGGGCTCTAACCGACGACCTTCCGGGATGCGGAGCAGAAACATTACCAACTAACCTGGGGCGCCCCTTGGTCCCGCGAATGTGATGCACAAGCATGTACGTCAAGCTAACCAACACTTAACGCAGTGAGTGATTCAATCGCCTTGCTCGTCAATACCGCAGCTTGGCACGGGCATTGCGCGATAGTGAGACGCCATTGATCGTCTGCATATTGTCCTTCCATAGGTTAAGGCCGGCGAAGTCATACACGCTACAACACACATCTTTGCTGCTTCGTGCGTCAAGTTGACATATGGTGCTTTGCACCTAAAGACGTACAAAATTTAAGGGCTAGCTTGGAGGCAGATAAAAAATATGGATGCAATAAGTGGCAGCTAAAGAGCACGAGAATCGATAGATCTGGACGAGGGAGAGCTAGCCTAGTGCTGCGGATTGAAATTAAGCGCGTTTTGACGAAGCTATCGAAGCTCCACCAGCGTGACCTTAATGTGGAGATATTTGGGCTCTGGGGCCCTTTTGGCCACAGAGGTACACGTCATTTGTCCGTATGAGCAGCATTGGCTTGTCTGGATTACACAAATATCTTGCTACAGTGCACGCCACCTAAAGCCTACAAAATCGACCTTTTTGTAACAATTTCGACCCGGCGTTATCCGGATTCGGACGAGAAGAAAAATTTCCCGAAAGGAATCGAATTAGGTTACGAAGCACGCAGCGGTGCTGTTTATGGTTATAAAGCTATTGTTTACGCCTTCTCTATCACCGACATGTTGATACGCCGATGTGAGCGTTGCTTCTTGACGGCCCATTCCGCTGCACCCAACGAGAGGCCTTTGCGATAGGCGTCCATGTACCGCCAGCACTTTCTGGCGTAGCGACGGATGGAGGCTAATTTGACGTGCTTCATGGCAGCTTTGATTGTCGAGAGAAGCTTTGCGAACGAGTAATCGCAATGCTCTCGGCAGTAGTTCTTGAGGGCACCCCAGTACATCTTGATGAAGTTGAACTCGCAGTGAAACTTGGGCAGAAAGAGAGCGACGTGCCGAGCAGCCTCAATGGTTTTTCAACGTGGCACTTCTGGGACGTGAAGTCGGGCTGGGATCCGAGTAGGTCCTTGGCCGTGTCGAGTCTGAGGCTGGCGCTCCAAAGGCCCCGCTCCTGGAGTACGATCTTGATACCCTTGGGCGTTTCGTCGGGAGCTTTGACCATCGACTGCGTAACACGCACATTCTTCTTCATCTTCTTCATCTGGACCCTCGTCGACGTTGATGTCGCCTGTGACCATCAGGCAGTCTTCGTCCTCCGAGTCGTCGTCCTGCGAGTCGTCGACCTCGATGCCGTCGTCAAGAAGCGTCACCTCCTGCTCCAGGGGTGGCTCTAGATACAATAGTCAGTTGTAGTAGGCTGTCCTAGTGCAAAGTACCTTGTACTGCGGAGGCAGCCTTAGCACGGTCCAGCTTTCGGCCCTTGCGTGCGCGCTCCAAGTGCAGGTATCGCTTGGTCTTCCGAGGCATGGAAAAATGGCTGAGAGAGCACATCATCCGGATAATGACACCTCATCTTGCGCCGGTGGGCCTTATCCGGAGGGGGCTTCATGTTATCCGGTGCATTTATGTAACAATTTCGGACCCCGTGGTCCTTTGATACCCAACTTTGAACACCCATAACTTCGTCAGTTTTTCGTTTCATCGCGATCGGCTCTTATACATCGCTTCGTCTTGGACAGAACAGTCGATTTATAACGTCCTTTCGGTATAAAAATGAAGACTCAGAGCTAGGATTCAAAAGTTTTGGACCACATCCATCTGGTAGGCTTTAGGTGGCGTGCACTGTATTAGTTTTGATCTTAACCGGTGGGGTTGGTTAGAGTATCCAGACAGAAGAACTGGCCCGCCACCCCGAGAACTGCCGAGCGACTCCACGGGATCATACCGGCTTCGCGCCAAAGATCATAGCGATGGAATGCAAGCTGCAAGAGAGCGAAGACGAGGCGACATTGACGCATCTCGACAAGATGTGGGCCAGGGCGCGGCTACGAGCACGTCGAGCACAAGTGCTGCGCGAAGCACTGCGTCGCGTCGCAACCCGACTTTTGCTTTCAAGTGTTGCGCTTGGAGAAGACGATCACCGGCGTAGGCCACCGCAGCTTGATCTTGCCCTTATATCACTGCGAGATGATCCTATTTAAGCTTACTGGGGGCAGCCAGGCACATTCCCGAGTCATTTGCACAAAAAAGAACGATCTACTACCCCAAGTACAGGCAAAATCGTCGGTCAACTCGAAAAAATAGCATGAGATGTGTCTCGGTCAAAATTGGGCCGTTTGGGTGTCTTTGGGTGACGTGCATCATATATCTTTGGCATAGCGACGTGGTAAAAGCGCCAATAATACACGCTTTGTGAAGGCATATTCGGGGCGCTCGTCTTTGCCACGTACAGACAATTGTTCTGTACCATATCTATGGTTCTTGCGGCAATGGCATGATGTTTACATGTAAGGTTCCCGAGTTACAGTAAACTTCAATTAATGTACAGTAAACCGGTGTAAACATTTCGTATACCGTGTAACCATGTGTAACTAAGTGTCAACTGAGTGTCAACTGTTCTATTCCGGAGTTTCTGCGGAATGGTCGGCGGAGGTGGAAAGCCCAGCGGTCGTGCGACTTGGTCGTCATCAATGCATTGCAGTACTTGCAGTGGACTTTGCGCCATTTCCCCGCGCCCGTCGTCGAAAAGTGCGAGGAGATGCCAGGCCAGACCATTGTTGTCGTAGACGATCGAAGTGGAGAATGAAGTTCGGTTCTTGTTGCTGTCGCAACCAGCAGAGTTTCCTCGAGGTGGTTTGTATACCTCGATTTTTGGTTTACACGATTTACGTAAAAGTTCGTACACTATTTGTGTTCGTACACTTGTAACCACGCATCCTTTTATATGTTAATGCATTCTCACCACTGTATTGATGTCGCTATATCGCACTGTATATGGAGGCATCCATCCAACCATGCAGCGCACGACGGATCAGCAACGTAAACTTGCATCATTGGCCATTTACAATACACAGACTGTGGTACGGGGCTCGGAAGGATGCACTGCATAGCATACAGCATAGCATTCACTCGATCGAAGATGCATGATGAACACTCTTGATTAAGTGTAGCATTCTTCAGCCTGCTTGACTAAGTTACTACGGATTACAATACATAGTTTTCGGTCATTTTTGCCAGCACAGTCTTCATGCTGGATGCATGAGCGCGTGCAAGACTCTGTAGCCGCAGACAACGCAGCACCTGCCTGACATTGCTACTTCATCGCCCTTATCGCAAACGTGCGTGAGCTTGCATTCTACAAGATACCCTCCTCAAAGAGATTGTGGCGGTAGGGCCGTGGAGCTCACCCTGGTTGGTGAAATATTCCCATTTCGGAACATTTATCCAGCAACAACAGATATACACCGAGGTGGGGAAACTACCCCAAGCAACACCAGAAGCCCGTACTTCTGCATGACTGCACAAAATTGACTACGCTGTTGTATACGTTCAGAGGGCGTAAAAAGTGTGCAAAATCAGTAGCAACAGACATCGCACACGTGCCTAGTAAAGCAACCTCATCGCAAATGCTACCTACGAGCTTTCTACCCAAAATAGAATGTTGCCGTAGGACCACGGGGCTCACCCTAGAGCTGTATGAGGGCGAAAAAGTCAGCAAACCCGTGAACGTCGACTGTATGGTTTGCGCGAAGCTCCTGACCCCTGTCATGTAGCCTCGGCTACACAGCAGCACCGTGACGACGAAGATGGTTCACATCTGAAGCCAAGCTATACAGACGGCGTTTGCGAGCGTCGCTACTTAGAGCAATAAAAGTAGCGAGTCGAGCCTCGAAAGCGAGTACCCTGAAAGGCTCTTGCACAACGTCTGTGGGCAACCAAAACACTGTCCGATACATCTGACATTGCTTCCCAAATACAACAGTCACCCATATCAACATCAAAGTGGGCTCAAGATATGCATCAGCCGAGAATCCGTTGAAATAGATCATGGTCAAGACCGTATTTCGTACTACAATTGTACAACTGCAACGTGTTTTGACGACCTACAAATCCCGCACAACTCTGCCAACAGCTGCGCCAACCAGACCAAAAACCTTGCGCACTGCGTGCGCGCACTCGTTTCGCACGTGGAGCCGCTTCGCGGTAGTACGCTTCGCCTCTGAACTGTCGACCTGAGTGCTTCGAGAAGGGTTTACCTGAATTTTTCTCCTATTGCTTAAAAGCCAAAGGATCTAGGTACACCTCCTCCAAAGCACCTTGCTCGGAGGTGAAGCCGACGCGGCCCGATGTGCGGCCGCACGACGCACCACTAGGCTGGCACATTCGTGCGGGCTCCATGGGGTTGTTGGCGGCAGTTTCCGCGTAGTTTCCCTACTGTGAAGGCTATCCGACAGTGCCGGTTAAATGATCCCAAATCAATATAGTGAAAGCAGCTATATTGACACTCGATCCAGATCTTTGTGGGTCGCATAGCATCACAATGACCACGACTTTCCGTGAAGCTGTTTGACGAACGAAGCAAGTCCACTTTTCGCGCGAAGCGCGTGCCGTGCCGCATTGGATGACTGCAGCGAGTCCGGCAATTGTTTAGGACCGGTGCGTACATCGATGACGAACGGCGAGCGCGAGCGGAATGCAGCGAAAGGCTTGAGAAAGGAAGAAGCGCACAAGAGCAAGTGCTTGCGGACAAGTTAAAGCAGAAATAGGCGAGTGCTGGCACCGTCAAGAAGGCCAGACTTAAACGTACGCGCCTAGGGAGAGCACTAGAAAGGCGTTCGTGCGCTAATGTTGCCAGCGCAGACCTGCTCGCTCCGTCCATCTCGGCAGCCTGGCCCCGCGTACAACTTTGCGTGAAGGAGGTCCCTTCCGCGCCTGTCGATCGTGCTGCCTTGAGCGCAAAGCCACGCCCATCTGTACCGAGTCGAGTCGACGTGCGATGCTGTCGGCCGCACGACAAGCCACCCGCCACCCTCCTGGATTTTGAGCCTTGGTGCCCCTGTCGTGCGACATGTCACCGCTCGATAGGAGGCAACGATAAGCCATTAAGCGGACGTCTTCATCGGTGACGACGTTTTGGACTAGGACATCACCCAGGTGCGCACTACACGCTGTCTACGAATCGCGTGCTGCTCAATCAACGACCTTCTCGAGGTCGACGCTCCCAACCACAAGGTGCAAGCTTTTACCTACGTATGGGAGTAGTGCAACGTCCGCCTCATGCCATGCAAGTTATACACCTACGCTAGCTACTGCAACAACAGCAGGATTGGCGATGAGCACAAGTGCTCACCGGATTGTTGCCAGCCTCCAGCAAAGATAGAAAAATCATTCTCCTTGCTGCAGTAACAACGCCGACGGAGTGTACCATCCCCAATAACTTGCAACGAGAACTACCTTCACTATAAATGGGGCTTTGTTCCACAACTTTCGCCGTCTGGACCCGACGGATGCAGAATAAATCGCACCTGCCTCATTCGCTGCGCGGCAGATCAATTTCAAGAGCTGGTGCTGCTCACACTCGGGACGCGCGTGCAGCAACCGAATGATGCCGCTACTAAGGCACTTTCGTCGCTCCAATGCCTCCTGCATACGCACAATGAGTGTCGTCGGAGAGTCACAGGGCTCATCCTAGTTTGCTTTAAGCTATGAAAGATAGGAGATTTGTCTTGCGAGCATTCCTGACGACGGCCGAGTATCACCAAGAACACGACTTACGACATGGCGTTCCACTATCTTTCATCTTTTTCACATAACTTCCCCACACCTTTCCGCCATATATCGAATAAAAATACAAAGACTTCTCGATCGCGAGCAGACGGTTGCATGTGAGCGAAAGAGTTCGTCGATATCGCATTGCACACGGGCCACTTGTAAGCGAAGAAGACAGTACCGTCACCAAAAAGTTCTCGTGCAACTTGTCCGACAACGCACGTGGGCTTACATAGTCCAACAGCACGACGAAGCTGGCGCGGCATGTGGCTTAACGAAGCGTCGAGCAGACAACGGCGCCATTCGTCATCAGGTGCAAATACGCAGAGGGCCTGACACGCTTCATTATTGCAAAAGCACGAGCAAACCTACAGAGACCACGAGCAAACGTACCACACCAAAAAACCGACGCTGCGGTCAACGCCACAGTACTTGCGCGATTGCCGGTAGCTCAGTTATCGGACCAGCGCGTTTTATACGTCTACCGACATCGTCGAAGCTCTTGAACACGAGGTAGAACCTGCAACAGCAAACGACGACGATGATCGGCTACAAGAAGCCACTTTCAACTACCCAGTTGAGTTTCTCAACTCCATCAACCTCGCTGGCTTTCCTTCACAACGTCTCGAGCTCAAGGTCAACGCGAATGTCATGCTGCGGGTATTGCGGGACCGGTGCATTCAGGCTACGATTTTGACTGGCGCGCAAGCTGGCGACGTCATTTTCCTACCTCGCTCATCAACGACGGTATGCACAACACGATGCCGTTCAAACGGAAGGGTTTACAGTTCACAGTTCGTTTTGCATTTGCGATGACAATAATCAAGTCGCAGGGTCACCCGGTACCTCGAGTTGGCATCTACTGACCGGAAGGAACCAGTTTTCGCGCACGGACAGCTCTACGTCGCGATGTCACATGTTCAAGCGCATGCCAGCATCAAAATCATGGTTCTCATTCAAAGTCGAATCTGGACGGACGCACTTACACGAAAATCATCGTCCACGAAGATGTCCTGGGCTATTCCGACGAGGCAATACGAGACAGACATTGCGCTACCATAGAAGGAGCAAAAAAGCAAAACACGAATCTCATGTCGTAGGTTCGCGGCGTACATCGGGATCTGCTCAAGAGGTGGTAAAATCAAAAATGAACCACCCGTACCCCAAGAAGTTCGGAGAGATCGCTGCGCGGCCCGAAACCGTGCGCACCGCTCAGCTTGTGGGGCCGCTCCGCAGCCGAGTCGGCTGAGCCCCCGGTCGGTCTGAGCTTGGTGACCAGAGGAGGGTGTACCTCGTTCCTTTCCCACTTACATAATAGGAGATCAAAATAGAAGATCGTTGTGCGAGTGGCCTCGCGATCAGATTGTCCTGGTTGACCATCCTTTATGACGCATGCAACCGTACGAATTGCTGCGTGGCTGCTCCAACTAAGGCGTGGATTATACGTCGCGGCTTGCTAAGCGCATCGAATCTTTACGAAATGCTTGACCACGTAGGATGCTATTGAGCTTTCGTCAGCAATTCACTGTTCCTTTATTCAACAATAGTGACCTACTTTTAAGCTTTTTCTAGCACTCTGAGATGACAAGGAGTAGTCTAAGGTCTTATTCGCCACTGTGGTTTCCGCGCTGGACGCAAAGAATCTGTAGCAACAGACAAGTCAGCACCTGCCTGACACTCCAACATACGAGCTTACTATTACCGTTAACCAACTACTTCACCCCAAAACGAGTGTGGCCGTAGGGCCAAACGACTCACATTAGCGCTATACACTACATGAGATTGCGCTGAAAGAGAATTAAAGAATAACTTGCCAGGTGTGTGGATGATGTTCCGACCAGCAAAGCAACCTACCGGTAGTCAGAACCCACCGCACGAACTAGCCTGGTGCTCCGAGAAGTAGTGAGATCGGCGTTCCGAGTTCGAACCGCCAGCACTAGGCGGTATCTCCTCTCCTCCTTAACGTAGCGAGCAGGTTGCAGACAAGCCATGTAATTCTTACGCGGCAGTATCGCATTTCATTACATATACAGACGACACTTGGTTGTACTCTCGTGTACATGATACGTCGATCTTGTTACACCGATGCATCTTGACCGTCGGGCAGGTGGTGCTTGAAAGCAAACTTGGCCGAGTCGTCCAAGAAGGAGCGTACTTCTGGCGTTGCGTAGTACTGGCCCGTACTGCGGTTTATTTCTCGTCCTCACAAACGCTGAGGAGAACCGTGTGGATCGCGACGTCGAAAACTCCAAGAAAGAGGCACGAGATCGCGTAAGCCAAAAGACCTGTCGCGATGAGCGGCGGGAACGGGCTTGTGAGGTGCAACGATGCGTGTGACGCCTCAAAGGCGTACATACCGATAACGCACACGGCCGTGATGAGCAGCTTTCCCATGAACAAGACGTAGGTAGCGACGATGCTTTGCGTACCAATGCGGCCGAGGTTGGCGGCCACGAGGTTGAATGCGTCGACGATCGCGTGGCAAAATGAGCCGCCTTTCATTGCGACCAAGATGTATCCATTCGAGCTCAGGAACTTGACAACTTTATGGAGGCAGTAGAGGCAGCAGCGACAGCAGCACACGACAATCTGCACAGCCTTGTTTTGTGTTCCTTGGGTCTGGCGGTCGATGTATTCAAGAAGAACACGGAGAAATTGCACGACCGCGAGAATGCCGGCGCCAAAGACCAGCGTCCCGAAATGGTATCGCACCGAGTAGTACGCTGACGCTCTAGGCAGCCACGTCAGCGATTAGTTCCACAAGATAAGGAGCTCTACCCGACAGCCCAGCCAAGATCATGGCGGCGATCGTTGTCACACCAGTAGTAGCGACAAATTGCGCCCGAAATCGTGCACACAGCGATTGCTTCAATCAGTTGCTGTGTCCAGAAGATGCCGAAGATGTTGTAAGCAAAGAGGTACTTCATCAGGTTCGGATCCGTCGCATTGCTGCTCGTATCTGCATAGCGGGGTCCATGCATTGTAGCCTTCAGCTGCGCCGCTGAGAGGTTTCCACAACTCGCAATGTACACAGATGACACGACAAAATATGCAAATAGGCCGAGCAACTTGAGCGCAGGCACGATTGGAAAGAACAATAGCAT